CCAGGGCGAGGCGGCGGCGGCGGGCGAGCGCGAGGCGGCGATGCCCACCTTCCGCTGGGAGGAGATCCAGAAGCACAACCTGCGCACCGACAAGTGGCTGGTGGTGGACCGCAAGGTCTACAACGTCACCGCGTGGGCCAAGCGGCACCCGGGGGGCCACCGGGTCATCGCGCACTACGCGGGCGAGGATGCCACGGTAAGGCTGGGCGGACGCGGGGACGCCGATCGCCGTCCCTCGGTGGCAGGCGGGGTCTGCAGCTCTCCCCCCACCCTCCCCGGCCCCGCGACCTGGGGGGTTGAGGGGGCGCCAAACGCAAGGATCTCCGGCTCTGAATGGAGCCGGCGACGTCCACGAGGACAGGCCGGCGTGCCTCCTTCCTGCTGTCCTCCCGCGCGTGGCGCCGGCTTTCCTCCGGGTCGGCTCGGGCTTGTGGGGTGCCGAGGAGCTGCGTGTTGACCCCCCTCTTCCACCCCTGTGGGTGGCACGTCGGTACAAAGTCCCAGAGGGGGCGGACCGTGCGGGTCCCCGGCGCGCGCGCGGTGCTCAGGCTCGGCGGGATCCCGGGGAGATTCCCCAAAGGGGGCGCTTGGGGCTCGGGGTTCCCGGGGCTAGAAGATGGCCACCCCCGGGCGCCGCGGGAAGGGATCGGAGCGCGGGGCAGCGCTGTGTGGGACTGGCGCGCGTCCCGCACTCCCCGAAGCCAGACTCGGGACGTGGGGAGAAGGGGAGACCCGAGCTCGGCCCCGGCCTGGCTCTGTGGGAGGGAGGTTCACAATGGCCGCCCGCGAGAGACCGCCAGGCCGGGCAGATTCCCACGCTCCCCGGGATTACCTGAATCCCGCTGAAGTGGCGGCCTTCTGGCCGACTGGAGTGCAAAAACGTTGGTGAAAGAAGAAAGGGTTGGAGTATATATCATCATCATCATCATCATTATTATTAAGAAAAACCCAGGTGGAGAGGAAGGCCTGAAACCTGCATGAGCAGCCCCCCTAGTATGGATGGGCAACAGGTCTGTCTCGGACATCCAACTCAATAACCCCCTGGTGCAAAGTCCTGCCAGGACCTCCGTTTCTTCCTCTTGCACTCCCGGAGGTTGTGGACCTCCAGACTTTCGCTGGAGCTAGGGCTGCACCTCTCTAACTACAGCAAACGTGTAGGTGAACAATTGAGCTGTTGAGTTAATAGCTTTTGCCCCTTGCGCAAAGGATTTATGGCACGGCCAAAAGTTCCGGGAAGGACGGATCTGCAGAGAGAGTTTGGGTCCCCATAGTAAGGGCTTAGAAGGAGAGGCCGGGGAAACAAGGAAACTACTATGGAGACAATCCAACCTGATGAGAGGATTTTCTTAGTTTCTAAAGAAAGCAAGGGGGCGCGGCTCCTTGAGCTCTGAGTTCAGTCCCCAGAATCACCAGAAAATTAAAAAAAAAAAAGTTGGGGCTGTGGTTCACTGGTAGAGCACTTGCCCTGGTAAGATATTAGGGTCCTAGGTACATAGAAAAGCAATGAACAGCAAGTTATATCTGTATATATTGCATACATACATTCTTACGGATATACACACAGACAAGGTCACTTAGCTTTTGCTAAGTGGGCATTTGCTCTCTCTGCTATCTCATTTAATCTTTCTCACTGTCCTGAGAGTCAATGCCTTGCTTCTGGGCAGCACTTAACCTCGAACTCTGGGTCTGCTAACACAAGTTCACATTCCTGTGTCCCTCCCTCTTTCCCTATTCCCACCTTTCTGATCTCTCTCCCTCTGGTCCTCCACAGCCTTTCTTGTCTTTGTTTTGCTGTGGGCACTGAGAGGGGTCACTTGTTCTGCCTTTTTTCTGGTGGTCCCATCAGTGCATAACTTTCCTCACTTGGGACTTTTCATTTCTGGAACAATTCATAAAACATTCATTGAGTGTCTCCATGGTTCTGTGTTGGGCCTCTGCAAAAAGATGAATAATTCATGGACAGTGTTCTGAAGGTACTGGATTTGCTTCCCTCTTCTCTCTCTCTCTCTCTCTTTCTCTCTCTCTCTCTCACACACACACCCTGCTCTTATGAAGCTCTTTCCAAGAGGCAGGAGTCAAACATGGAATTCTGTCCTCCTATACTGGAGAAACGATGGGTTTGATTCCCAGCTTTATGAGTTAGTGGGTATGGAAGGCTCCACCTCCTTGAGATCTAGGTAGGTAGCATCCATCCCATGGCTACTGCACACTCCATAGGAGTACCCTGTGTTCAGCCCCACCATCTCCAAGTAGTACTTGAGATTGTTCCATGCCAACCATTCCTTATGCCCAAGTTGCTTTGTTGGGGTCCACCTGTGCAGGCCAGCTCTGCATCTCAGGAGAGTACATGGGACTGTACTAACGGATTCTTTGTCATCCAGGGCTCCTGGTAATAGTGGTAAGAGACCACTGCCTCCTTCTAGAACCTTGTCCTCTTGGGAGTTTGACACAAGGACGCTTGTCCTGCCTGCACCTCTCAGCTGCACAAAGCAAGCCACTGCTCTGCTGGTGTCAGTACTGGGGTTTGAACATGGCTTTGCGCTATCACTTTTTTTTTTTTTTTGCTCAAGGCTGGCATTCTACCACTTCAGGCTTTATGCTGGTCCACTGGAGATGAGTTCATGAACTTTTTCTGTACAGGCTGGTTTTGAGCCTTGATTCTCTGATCTCAGCCTCCTGCGTAGGTGGGATTAAATGTGGAAGCCACCACATCCGACTGACTGGAGTTTCTGCTCTGCCTCTCCTCCCTTAAATCACCAGTTTTTACATTGTCCTGCTCCCTAGAATTGGCCTCCTGCTCACTTGTGTGCCGCAGCCAGGTTTGTTCATCTCACACTTCCCAAGCCCTGGGATGTGAAAAGCAGTCGTTAAGTCTAGCCTTGCATAGTAAGAGGATCTGGGCACAGCCAGGAACAGGTGCTCAGAGCAGGGATACTGGCGAGTTCTGCCTGGAGCAGACAGGGGCGGGGAACGATGCCTAAGAAAGTCAGCTGGCATTGCAGCGGGGTGATAGAGCAAGCAGGAACGGGTGAAGAGCAGCAAGTGTGACACTTGGGAATCCAGTTCTGACCCTTCTTCATCTCCCCACCCCCAACACCATAACACACACACACACACACACACACACACACACACACACACACACGCACACGCGCGCCATTCAGATTGGTCGCTGTTTTCTACTTCCTTCTGTTCCGCATGTCCCAGGCTAGCTTCCTGGAAAGACTGGCTTCTTTCCCTATCAGATGCGGAAAGAGCCTGGTTCCAATTCTTGTTCCTAAAAATAAAAATCACGGCTCACCTTCCAACCCTAATGTCCCTGTAGCCTAATAGTAATTGGGAACTTTTGGTAGTGTACAGGCAGGCGTCTGTGGCAGGATGAGGAGAGGCACTAGAGTTAGGTAGAGTAGGCGGGGCCACTCAGGGCCAGATAACCCTCAGGGGTATGGATTCCAGAAAGGGGAAGAAGAACTGCGGTACTCAGAAAGCCTCACTGAGTTGTTTAGAACAGAAGACAGAAGAGCCCAAATGGGGACGGCAGGGTGGAAAGGTGGGCTAGGAGTGTGCACAGCTGTGGGGTACGGGGGTCCTCTACAGAGGGGAGCGAACCCAAGTTTGGGGTCTTGCTAAGTGCTGTGCAGCAGCTGGAATGAGGCAGTATCCCCAAGAAAGCCTGGGCTGGGAAGAGCTTTGAGGAGGTCAAGCCCAGACTGGGAAGGAACTTGATGGATTCCAAGGCTGTTGGGAGGCCACTCCTGGAAGTACTCTTTAATTATTCATTTGCCCCCCCCTCCCCCCCCCCCCCCCCCCCCCCCCCCGCAAATGTCAGAAGGTTTTCCATGGGAAAAAGAAATCCCTGGAGGCAGCTGGACCTGGATTTGAGCCTGGCTTTGCCACCTGGAGTACAGGACCTCTTCCCCCTCTCCTCCAGGGCTCTGGGGCTGAGAGAGGTCACGTAAACAAAGTCCCTGGCTCCCTGCCTGGCACGTGGCTGCTCCTTTCCCCGGGCTGCAGGGAGGTGAGGCTGCCCAGGAACCATCTGGAAATGGCTGACCAACAGCCAAAATCAAAGCAGGGTTCCCATTTGCTCTCCTTCCCCCAACAGGTTGTAGGGTAGGGATGGGGGTGGGGTGCTCCGATGAGGGGGCACAGGCAGGAAGTTCTGAGGTGAAGGCAGTTTCGAACTGTGGAACTTGACTTTCCCTGGTGATGGTCCATTGGCCTTGTTCCCCAGGAAGTTGCCTTACCAAGAACTTCCTGTTTGTTTCTCAGCGGGGCCATGGTCCCGTGGGGGGAGGGGGGGCGGTAAAGGGATCCAGGAGAGGATGTTCTCAGCCTTAGGCCTAGGCTGGCTAGATCTTTGCTGGGCCTTGCTTGCTTTGTGGAAAGGCTGGAGACAGCCAGTCAGTGCTGTCAACCCCTGCGCAGGGCGCTGGAGCCCTACGTCTCTTGTTGCCCCAAAAAACCAAAAACAGATCTCAATTTGCCTGACCCTTTGATCTGATCTATCCATTCCCACTCAGCTAAGGGGAGACACACAGGTTTTTTGTTTTTTAAACCTTCCTTCCTCTGCCAAAAGTGTTGCTTTGTTAGACTAGTGTAGATACAAATAGAACAAAGACTCGATGCCAGAGACACAGAGAGAAAACACAAGGAGACCGGCGGTCACTGTTGGGAGATGCTTTTCCCTGGTTGAAAAGATTATTAGGACTTGGTAGCTTTTTCCACACCTTCCCTTGTTTGTTTGTTTGCAGCAGGGTTTTTCCTATGAAGCTCAGGCTAGCCTTGAACTCCCAACCCTTTTACCTTAGCTTCTCACATGCTAGGATTACAGATGAGCACTACCATGCCCCGTTTCCTTCCTTCCTTCCTTCCTTCCTTCCTTCCTTCCTTCCTTCCTTCCTTCCTTCCTTCCTTCCTTCCTTCCTCCCTTACTCCCTTCCTTCCTCCCTTCTTCCCTCTTTCCCTTTTTGTCCTTTTGTAATGATAATGCTCTACCACTGAGCTAAACCTCCAGGCCTTGTTCTTTTCATGGGTAGTTCTTGGTTTGTGGGTGAAGATCTCTCTGGGTAGTATGTTGTTTAGTTTGTTGTGCTGTGCAAAGTCCTAAGCTCAGTCGTCCTCAAGCACACACATCCCTGGAAAACACTTGTTCACAACTCTTGGATTAATTCAGAGGGTCCCTTTTGCCTGACCCTGAGAGTTGGACACTGAAGCGGGGGAGTCTGTCCTGGGGTATTTGGGACCAGATGGCAGGAGGTGCTGCTGGGGCACTGTCCTTCCCTTCCTAGAGGCCTAGGCTCAACCCCACCACCTGCTCTCTGCTCTCTAGGATGCCTTCCGTGCCTTCCACCCTGACCTTGACTTCGTGAGCAAGTTCCTGAAGCCCCTGCTGATTGGTGAGCTGGCCCCGGAGGAGCCCAGCCTGGACCGTGGCAAGAGTGTGAGTGGGGCTTGCATTCTGGGTGAGGGTGAGAGGATGGGGCTGGGGCTGGGAGCCTCACGCGGGCCAACCCGGGAGGAGAAGGCACTGGGATCAGCAAGGACTGCAGAGCCTTGACTGAGAACCAGGACTTGGCCAGGACCTGTGATGCCCTCTCTCTCCCAGCTGCTCTGTTATGCGTGTTGTCTGTGTGCATGTGCACGTGTGCATCAGCACTGGGGCTTGAACTCAAGGCCTGGGCATAGTTCCTGAGCTTTCATGCTCAAGGCTAGTGCTCTACCTCTTAAGCCACAACTCCACTTCCAGCTTTTTGGTAGCTAATTGGAGATGAAGAATCTTAAGGATTTTCTTGTCCACAGGCTGGCTTAGGACATGATCTCAGCCTCCAGAGTTGCTAGGATGATAGGTGTGAGCCACCATTGCCTGGCTTTTCCTTCCTTTTTAAAGCTGTATCATATTCCCTCATGCGCATAAAAACACTGGGATACAAGGTGTAAACTTCTGAATTCTTTTTCTACCACTTTTCCAGCCAGACACAAATACTTCCTGGAGCTCTGGCGCACATATGCAGCTGGCACATAGTAAAACAGCTGTTGTAGTCGGGATTAGGGTGTAGATTACCTCTGCTTGCTGTAGCTTTAGAGGGTTAACTGTGTGTGTGTGAAAAAGACAAACGTTCTTTTTTGACAAGTGCCAGTGGCTTTTGCCTGTAATCCTAGCTACTCAGGAGGCTGAGATCTGAGGATTGTGGTTTGAAGCCAGCCTGGGCAGGAAAGTCTATAAAGGATCTCATCTCCAATGAACCACCAAAAAGCCAAAAGTGGAGCTGTTGCTTATTAAGTGGTAGAGTGCTAGCTGTGAGCAAAAGAAGCTCAGGAACAGTGTTCAGACCCCAGGACTGGCACCAAAAAAAGTCTCTTTTGAGGATAAGAGGCTGGTGGCTTATACCCTTCTGTACTCTGACTTGACAGGTTCAGATCACCGAGGACTTCCGGGCCCTGAAGAGAACGGCCGAGGACATGAACTTGTTCAAGACCAACCACTTCTTCTTCTTCCTCCTCTTGGGGCACATCATTGTCATGGAGATGATTGCATGGCTCATCCTTCATTACTTTGGCAATGGCTGGATTCCTACCCTCATCACGGCCTTTGTCCTTGCTACCTCTCAGGTGAGGCATGGCCCCCTGGCCTGGCATTTGAAGCCCCGCCCCCAGCTCCCCTTCCTCCCTGCCCTGGCGTCTATTTACCAATGCTATGATGGCGTCCATGGCTCTCTCTCTCCCTAGGCCCAAGCTGGATGGCTTCAACACGATTACGGCCACCTTTCTGTCTACAAGAAGTCCAAGTGGAACCACGTTGTCCACAAGTTTGTCATCGGCCACTTAAAGGTAAATGTTAGCAACTCTGGCCGAAAGTCTATTGCACAGTGGACAGTGCCGAGTCCTTTTGCTGTGTTGCCATCTTGGGTAACAAGGGGGGGCTCTTTGAGCAGTTCATTTCTGGGATGAGGTGGCTGTCACTTCCTGAGCCCTGCCACTGTACAGTGAGACCTACAAAGCCACTGTATCTGAACTGTAGAAACAGACATGTCTCTGTCTCTGTCTGTGTCTCTCTCTCTGTTTCTGTCTGTCTGTCTCTCTCTCTCTCTCCCTCTTTCTCCTTTATTTGTGTGCTACTACTAGGGTTTGAACTCAGGACCTCAACTCTCACTTGGCTTTTTTTTTTTGCTCAAGGTCTATTACTCTACACTGGAGCCACAGCTATACTTCCAACTTTTTTTTTTTTTTCTGATTATTTGAAAGTAAGAGTCACATAGACTTTTCTTCCTGGGCTGGCTGCATACGGTAATCTTCTGATCTCAGCCTCCTGAGTAGGTAGGATTACAGTTGTGAGACACCAGTGCAGGTCTGATACACCCTTCTTTTGTCTAGCAGCTCAGTTGATTATATTGTTGCTGATCTTTTAGCTATAGATTTACCTAAGACATTCCTTGTGAATTCAAAGGTGAAGGAGATGGCTGTCTGAAGGAGTTTGATGCTTTCTTTCACTGTGATGGGAGCGGTTTCATACATTGTGTTCCTTTGGGAGTTTTTCTTACTGAGTCCTCAGACGTGCAAAGCAGCAGCTGGAACAGCAGTTACCCTTCATTCTCGCTTCTCCATGTACTCATCCTGCCCTTCCTCAAATGGTAGTTAGGCTGTTTTCTTTCTTTTTAGCACACATTAGCTTTACAGAGGGAGTTCATTGAGTTATGCTTTTATCTTCATTGTAACCATTCCGTTCTAAATGAGTCCTTTCTCTTCGGTGCAAAAGGCCAGGGCCTTTTGCTCTTGCACTGCTTTTTTGCTTAAAGCTGGCGCTCTATCATTTGAGCCACAGCTTCACTTCTGGCTTTTTGGTGGATTATTGGAATCATAAGAGTCTCATGGACTTTTCTGTTCAGAATGGCTTTACACCAGGGTCATCAGATCTCAGCTTCCTGAGTACCTAGGATTATAGAGGCATGAGCCACTAGTAGCTGGTCACGTTTTTGAAATGCTCTTTGGACATATGTGGGGTACAAAAAAAAGATGTAGATACTGATGCCCCTCCCGATGGGGGTAGATCCAGATAACCAGTTCTAAGTTAAATATATAAGTTGGAAGAACGTGAAATGTATCAAACTTACCAAGCAGCACGGCTCAGCAAGACAATGCAGTGTGGGCTGTGGGCTGCTTCTCGATGTTTGGCTGTTGCTGCTTTTTAGCATCATACTGTGAATCATTAGCCCAGGAAAAGATAAAAACTCGGACATGGTGTCTCTTGAATGTCTGTCCAGTTCCCACTATCATAAAATGAAAGAATCATTGAAGTCCAACCATTGCAGTTTAGGGACCAGCCCTACCGTCGTCATGTATATAAATCCTTAGGATAAAAGGGACATCAAACTATAATGAAAGTTCAGGTGATCAGGGGGCCCTACGGATGAGGCAGACCCTCAGGAAGAAGCATGGCCATTCAGCAAGTGTGTAAAGATGAGCCACTGGCCAGAGGCCTGGGGGGGGGGGGGATGTGATAAGCCTTATCTCCTTAAGACATTTATTTTTACCGATCCTGGGACTTGAACTCTGGGCCTGGACACTGTCCCTTAACTTCTTTTGGCTCAGCAAGGTTAGCACTCTACCACTTGAACCACAGCACCATTTCCAGCTTTTTTTCTGTTTAGGTGATATTGAGGAGTGGAACCCAGGGCTTCATGCATGCTAGGCAAGCATTCTACCACAAAGCCACATTCCCAGCCCAGAAAACAATTTCTTCCCAACTCACCGTCCCCTCCATGAGCTCTACAGCATCTTCCTAAGAAAAGCTGGGTCCTAAAGATCTCCATTCTCCCCCTCCCCCGCCCCTCTCCTCCCCCGTTGAGGGAGGAGTCTGGAGTCTGGGTCTGGGTTAAACCCCTCATCTCCAGGACCACAATCATCCTAGATCCTTGGCTTGCTGGTTACAGACTGGGTTTAGGGCAAGCCAGCAGTGAGCTGATCGCCAGTTCTTCTTCAACAGTTTCCCTGGCCTGAAGCCCCAAAACTCTGAGAATCTGGACTCCTTCCAGAAGCTCAGGGGTGAAGGGAGAAGGTTTGCATAGTGTAGCCTTTTGTTCCATGTTTGCACTTTTCTGTTGGATAAAACCCTCCTTGGTTTCAGAAAGTAACATTTCATCCCACCCGCGTTCTTCCCTACCCCCCAGCCCCACCCTCCCCCATCCCCGGCCCCATGCTTTTAACAAAGATGAGCTGTGTCCTGGCTCCAGATTCTGGGCAGGGGATGGCAAGTCAATCCAGCCTTGAGTCCTTGAAGACAGGGGCAGGGCAGAGGACCGGCTCCCATGTGAGATGTTTGCTTCGCAAATCTAGCACGACAGAAAAAGAGCATCCTTAGGCTTGGGGACATGGGTTCAGTGCACAATTGACAGCCATGTCCTTGGTGCTGTGGCCCAGAGTGGAGCCGGCCATGTGGCCAGATGGCTCACCAGGGCTGTCTCAGGGTGAGGGCTGGTGGCTTGCTTGAAATCTGGACTTGGGACTTAGCCGACACACAGCTGCTGGTAGGTCCATCTGTTCCTCTGGTCTCTTTGCAAGGAATTGGCTTTGCCAACTTGGCTGTTTTAGCACCAGCTGGTGCAGCCAGTAAGCAAGGTGTAGGAGGCCTGGTAAAACCATAACTGTGCCACTGTAGAATTGGATCAGGGTCTCTACGTCCTGACCACCCACCCCTTCTTTCCTTGTAGCCCCTGCCACTTACGCTGGGCATTTCTTCTATAGAGATTGTCCTCTAAGGATTGTCTTTTGCAAGGATGGCTTACAGGTGGCACGCTCCTGCTTTACACAAACCCTTTTGCATCTCGTGTTGCTTGAGGGTGGAACTGTACGCCTCAAGCTTCGGGTATCAGCTAGAAGTTGCATCTGGACGCGAGAATCTACTCATCTTCCTGCGGTCTCAGACCGCCAGGGCTCATGTCAGACCACCAAGAGTGCAAAATATGAGGGGTCTCCAGATGCACTCAATCATGATAAACATTCAATGCATATTTTTAAATCAAAATTAATGCAAAAAAATACCCAAATTTCTAATGAAGGTAGGGGCTGAACTGAGTCACATGGGAGGGGGGAAAAAAAGCCTGTGCTCCTAAGCCAATCCATAGTGACTCCCGCCTATAATCCTAGCTACGTAGGAGGCTGAGAGCTGAAGATCTTGATTCGAAGCAGAAAAGTCCCACAGACTCCACATCTAAAATAATGAGCAAAAAGCCAAGCTGGAGGCATAGTAGAATGCTAGCTGAGCAAGCAAGCCAGTCGAGTCGAAGGCCTTGAGTTCAAACCCCATCGTTAATTAAGCACTACAAACAAAATTCTTCTGTATGCATTCATAGGCCATGTTTTAAAAATATTTTATTCTCCTCCCCCCAGAACAATTGTAAAGTGCTTTAAAATTGAGAAGTTGCCGGGAGCTGGTGGCTCCCAGCTATAATCCTAAGCTACTTAGGAGGCTTAAGATCTGAGGATCATGGTTCAAAGCCAGCCCGGGCAGGAAAGTCTATGAGACTCTTATCTCCAGTAAACCACCAGAAAAGTGAAAGTGGAGGGCTGGGAAGGTAGCTCAGTGGTAGAGCGCTTGCCTTGCATGCTCGAGGCCTTGGGTTCGATTCCTCAGCACCACATAAGCAAAAAGAAAAAAGCTGGAAGTGGTGCTGTGGCTCAAGTGGTAGAGTGCTAGCCTTGAGCTGAAGAGGTGAGGGATGGTGCCCAGGCAAAGAGTTCAGGCCCCACGGCCGGACCCCAAAAAAAAAAAAGTGTTGTGGCTCAAGTGGTAGAGCGCTTGCCTTGAGCTGAAGAGCTGAGGGACAGCGCCCAGGCCCAGAGTTCAAGACCCACGACTGATTTAAAAAAAAAAAAAATCCGAGAAGTCAATGTATTCAAAACCCCCAAAGTTATTTTAAGCTTAAATGTGTTAACTTACATCAAAATAGAACTCATTGTACTTTCACTTCATTACAATTTACTTACTTTTTAATTAATTTTTTTTAACCCTTCAATGCTGAGGGTTGAACCCGGGCCTTCAGCATAAGCTAGGTGAATGCTCTACCACCAAGCTACCTCTCCAGTCCTGCCATTACATTATCTTATGTCAATATAAGGCAGTGAAAAATGGTTTAGCTGTGTTAGTCAGTGGGCAGAAATTGTCAAACTCAGCATTTCCTTCAGCTGGAAACAGAATAAACCCCCTAGGAAACTCTGGAAGCATTATTGGTGAATTAGCCTCCATTAAGGCCAGTCACTCACAGTGTCCCTTTGCTTCAGGCTCAGTATGACTTTGCTCAGCACTCTGGCTACCCTGTACCAAGGAACCCTCCTGCCAGTTCTCTGGTGCATGCCCAGCACTCAGGAGGCCGGGGCGGGAGGATGGAGAGTTAGAACCCCACCCGGGCTACATAATGACACCTTGTCTCGTGAGAAGAAAAAAAAATAAAAGGCCTTTCTTTGGCTTCTGGAACATTCTTAACACTCCCTCTCCTCCCAGGGCTCTCTGATAGTCCTGCTAGGCCAGCCTCAGCCTCCTCCCCAGAGTGGTTAGTACCTCTCTTTCTTTGTGTGGTGTGTTATCCCTGCACCCTCCCTCTCAGCTCCCCAAGGACAAAGGCCTTTTCTCCCTTTTTGCATTCGTTATTACCAAGATAAGGTCTGGCTTTCTACCTGGCACAACAGGGACTATGATCCCCCTATCCACACTTCCCTTTGTTGCTAGGATGACAGATGTGTATGACCATGCCCAGCCATTGATTGAGATAGGGTCATTTAAACACTTACGTTTGGGCTAGTCTCAGACCATGATTGCTTGATCTCAGTCTATGAAGTAGTTAAGATTAGAGGATTGAGCCACTACTCCTGACTAGAGAAGGCTTTTTTTTGAAGAACGAGGAGAACTTTGCCTGGTAAAGAGCAGAAGAGAATCAGCAGACACAAACATAGTCGTTTGTTCTGTTTCAAGCTCCTGGAAAGCCTGACTATCCCACTTCACAAGACTGTCCACAGTCCTTCTTTTGGTGCCTTCAAGGAGTCATTCAACAAGCCCCTCTAGGTTGGAGTATGGCGCATAGTGTTTACTCTTCCTCTGCCTCGATCCTCATGTGCTTGGGTGTCAGACTTCTCCACTGAATTCTTTTCCCGGGAATTTTGTTCCTCTTGGCCTTGAGTATGTATGTGTCATCCGATCGCTTTAGCCTTTGAGCTTTGACTCTGGCGTTATCTTGCTTTTTGCTGTGAGGTGTGTGGGAGTCCTCCTGCCTCGAGGGGGCCATAGCTGTCCCTAGCTGTCTTCACCTCCATCTCTTTGTGTCACATGGCTGTGTGTGTACCAGAGGTGCCTCCCTTGCATATGATCTGGTCACACTTGAGTGCTTCCTAATGAGCAGAAAAGATTGATTTCTTTCTTCTATCTTTCCTTCATGCTCTACTGTGGAAGGCCACACAAAGGTTCAAGGTGAAAAACTTGAGCTGGTGACACCACCTTCTGTATCTTTGAAATACATGGGCCGCAGGGGCACCGGTGGCTCACGCCTGTAATCCTAGCTGCTTTAAGAGGCTGAGATCTGTGGATCAGGGTTGGAAGCCACTGGGCAGATACATTAAAGAGATCTACAATTAACTAGTGGGGAAAAACTGGGAGTAGAGGCATGGCTTAAGTGGTAGAGCACTGGCCTTGAGCAAAAAAAAAAAAAAAAGCTGGAATGCAAGGCCCTGAGTTCAAGCCCCAGGACAGGAAGGAAGGAAGGAAGCTAGGTAGGTAAGTAGGAAGGTAATAGGTGAGTAGGTAGGTAGGTAGGTAGGTAGGCAGGCAGACTCGTGCTGTGTTCCTTGTCTTGTAGAAGCACAGTTTAGTGTAAGTGCCAGGTTCCGGGCTGCTCTTTCCTAACAGTGACTTTATCCAGGTCCCTCTGGAGGTTCTGATAGGACGGGAATCTGCAGCATGGCAGTAAGGAGAAGAAGGGTTCTGTTCTGTACTATACACACCTGTAATCCCGGCACTTGTGAGGCAGAGACAGGGGCACCACAGATTTTAGGCCAACCTAGGTTATAAAGACTTATCTAAAAAGAAAAAAAGCTAAGCCAGGCACTGGTAGCTCACACCTGTAATCCTAGCTACTTAGGAGGAGGCTGAGATCTGAGGATTGCAGTTGGAAGCCAGCCTGGGCAGGAAAAGTTCTTGAGACTCATATCTCCAATGAACCACCAAAAAGCTGGAAGCAGAGCTATATGGCTCAAGTGATAGAGCACTAGCCTTGAGCATAAAAGCTCAGAGACTATGCCTGGGCCCTGAGTTCAAGCCCCAGGACTGGCAAAAAAACAAAAACAAAAACCCTAACCAAACCAAAGGCTTTCATGAAATATAATACACATTCTATACCATTCGCTCAAAGTGTACAAATCATGTATATACTTGTATTTTTTCCTTCATTATTATAAGCCCTACATCCCTAAGCCATTGGACCCAAACCTCCAATCCTTCCTTGCCCACCAACCCTAGACCAGGGCCATCACTAACTTTTAGTCTCCTGGTGGTCGTGGTGGTGTGTGTGTCAGTACCAGAGCTTGAACTCAGGCCTTCACACTCTACCTGAGCTTTTTCGCTCATGGTTGATTCAATACCACTTGAGCCACAACTCCACTTCTGGCTTTTTGCTGGTTCATGGAAGCAAAGACTCATGGACTTTCCTGTCTGTGCTGGCTTCAAACTTCAATTCTCAGATCTCAGCTACCTGAGTGGCTGGGATTTTAGACGTGAGCCAGCAGCACCTGGCAAAGTTTCTGTTGATTCTATCCCAGTGGAACCACGTACTGTGGGGTATACATGCCTGGGGGTCTTTATGTTTTTTTTTCTTCCCCTTGGTCAGTGGGGCTTGAACTCTGGGCCTGGGCACTGCCCTTTAGCTCTTCAGCTCAAGGCTAGCGCTCTACCACTTTCAGTATTCTGAGTCGTTTATTTGAGATAAGAGTCTCACGGATTTTCCTGCCTGGGCTGGCTTTGAACCATGATCCTCAGATCTGAGCCTCTTGAATAGTTAGGATTACAGGCCTGAGCCACCGGGCGCCCCGCTGTGCCTGGCTTTTTTTGTTGTTGTGAAGCAGCCTGTTTCCTGCTTCATCTGTGTTTATAGTGCGTGTCTGTGTAGCATTCCTTTATAGCATGACCCAACTATCCTACTGCATCATTGCACCATGCTCTTCTTCCCTGTTGTTCTGTTGGTGGACATTTGCGTTGTTTCTACTCTTTTTTGGGTATTTTTAAGGATTCTGCTTTGAAAACATGGGGAGTGTTTACAAGTTATTGTGTGGACGCATTTTTCTTTTTCTTGGTTGTACACTAGTTCTCTGGTAGGGAAGACTTCTTAGTGTCTATTTCCCTTACTCCACTATAGCACCCAGGAAGACAGGCAGTGGGTGAACAGGCACAGGAGACTCTGGGGTTGGTAGAGAGGCGGAGGTCACCCCCTGCGCCTGCTTAAGAACCCACTTTGCAGTCTCATGTAGCTGCACTTTTTACCTGCCATAGTCATCTGATAGGGGAAACTGAGGACTCAGAAATGGCCATCTCCTAACTCTTCAGAGGCTCAGGTTTTCCTATCCTCCAAGTGTGAAGGAAACGTCAACCCTGCGTGCTGGAGATATGCCTGGAACTGGGGCTGAGCAGGGCGGGCCCCAGGCAAGCTGAGCTCTCTGGTGAGGTGCACGGCTCACTCTGATTCCTCTCCCCGCACAGGGTGCCTCCGCCAACTGGTGGAACCATCGCCATTTCCAGCACCACGCCAAACCCAACATCTTCCACAAGGACCCGGATGTGAAGATGCTCCACGTGTTTGTCCTGGGCGAATGGCAGCCCCTCGAGGTAAGGGTAAAGCCACGGCAATAGATCAGGCATCCTGGGAGGAGAGCCGGGGTCCTGGAGAGGGAGCATGCTACAGAGCCGTTTGGCATCTGCTGCCACCGTTCCTAGGCACCCGGCATTATTCCAGAAGCAGTTACTATGGTCTTCCTTCTCCTCAGTACATACCTCCTGCTGGGGGGAGGTAGAGGTCAGGTTCAAGTTCAACAGGAAGGAGTCTAGGCCTTAGGCATGGTCCCCAATTGGGCTAGGTCATGTTAAACCTGGCCGGGTCCACGCTGCTCACCTGCAGATCACAAAGCAAGCTCTGAGAGGGGACCAGAAGCATCAGGACCGCCACCCTGATCCAATCTGATCGCTAGGCCGTTTCCTTCCACTTACCCACACTGCTTTATTTTTATAGTCACTTTTTTTTTCAGTGTAAATCCAGAACATGCTCTGTGGGCTGGAAAGATGGCTCAGTGGTAGAGCGCTTGCCTTGCATTCCTGAGGCCCTGGGTTGATTCCTCAGCACCATATAAGCAAAAAGAAAAAAGCCAGAAGTGGCGCTGTGGCTCAAATGGTAGAGCGCTAGCCTTGAGCTGAAGAGCCGAGGGACAGCGCCCAGGCCCAGAGTTCAGGCCCCACCACCGGACCAAAAAACAAAACAAAACTGAACATGCTCTGTATAAATGTTGAAATAATGCAGGGAGATATAAAATGAAAGGGTGGTCATCAGCCAGGCGCTGGTGGCTCACACCTGGAATCCTAGCTACTCAGAAGGGAGTGATCTGAGGATCACAGCTCCAAGCCAGCTGGTGGGGAAAAGTTGTATCTTAGCTCTAATTAATCACCCAAAGGTGGGACTGGCTTGGTGTCTCAAGTGGTAGAACGTCATCCTAGAGTGAGAAAGTTAAGGGAGAAGCCTCAGGCCCTGAGTTAAAGCCCAGTACCAGCACCAGAATTTTAAAATTTAATAAAAATGACAAACCAAAATGATAAAAAAAAAAAATCTACTCTTAAAAATGCCCTTAAGCGCTTCAGCTCAAGGCTAGCGCTCTACCAGCTGAGCTACAGCACCACTTCGTTTTCTAGTGGTATATTGGAGATAAGAGTCTCACCAACTTTCCTAAAAAAGAGGGTTTTTTTTAAACTGTATTTTTTTTGTCTTTTCTTTTTTTTTGGTACTGGGGATCGAACCCAGGACGTTGCGCTTAGCTAGGCAAGCGCTTTGCCACTGAGCTACATCCCAGCCCAAAAAGAGGGTTTTTTAACTTAATTTTTTAATTAAAATTTTTATTTTAATTTTTAAAAATCAGGTTATGAGTACGACGCATGCTGATCCGTGTCACCCTCTCACCAAACCCTCAAGTCATGTAATTCAACAACTACATTTGCTCACCCTTGTTTCTCCATTTGTGTGCCCCTATTTTAAGTAGAGTTTTTATATTGTTTCCTTTACAAAAATAAAAGAATAAGTACATATGCAAGTGCATATGGGCCTGGGCACTGTCCCTCAGCTCTTCATTTCAAGGTTAGCACTCTACCATTTGAGCCACAGCGCCACTTCTGGCTTTTTTCTTTTTGCTTATGTGGTGCTGAGGAATTGAACCCAGGGCCTCATGCATGCAAGGCAAGTGCTCTACCACTGAGCCACCTTCCCAGCCCCTTTTATGCACATCTTAAGAATGGCTGTCATGCTGGGCACCAGTGGCTCACACTTGTCATCCTACCTACTCAAGAGGCTGAGATCTGAGGATCGAGGTTCAAAGCCAGCCAGATAGGAAAGATGGTGAGACTCTTATCTCCAATAAACCACGAGAAAACTGGAAGTGGTGCTGTAGCTCAATTGGTAGAGCGCTAGCCTTGAGCTGAAGAGTTAAAGGGCAGTGCCCAGGCCCAGAGTTCAAGCCCTATGATCAATCCAAAAAAAAGAAAGAAAGAATGGCAGTCAGGCTTGGACTCAGTGGCTGAGCACCTGCCCAGCTTGCTCAAGGAGTCTGGGTTCCAGCCCCAGGAGGAGACCAGGGCACCCAGCAGTTTCCCTCCTTAGAGTAAAAAAGAACCAAGACTCACTAGATTAAGAAAAGAGGAGGAGAAAGAAATGAGGAGGGGAGGAAAGAAGGAAGATAGGAGGAGGAAGAGGACAAGAGGAGTCACAGTGTCAGGCCCAGAGTAGGAGCACAAAAAGCATTTGTGAACGAAGCCAATCCACCCTTGTAAACAGTGGCACCGTGAACGGGCAGTTTCCCCTGTGTGGCTGGGGGGGAGTGGACCCCTCCCCATTAAGGGAGGCTCTGAGGGAGGGCAGTTTTGTTGACATGGTATGTTCATAGGAAATCACGTATAGTTCTTAACTCTGGAAAAACATTGAGCCTCTCCAGCTGGTTGAGCAGAGTGGTTTTTGGGTTTGGGTTTTTTTTTTTTTTTTTGGCCCAAATACATGCCTTTTGTTTTTCTTCTAGGAAACAGCTTGCAGCTAGCTTTAATTGGAGGTGTCTAGATAGCAGGGCTGATTAACTCCAGGCCTGATAGTGAGGACAAAGGTTTCCTTTCCTCTGTGGCGAGCCCCTGGCTGTTCCGACACATGTTTTTCTGTATCCCTGACCACAGAGCCCAGTCTCACCAGCTCTGCTGCTGGCAAGCATGTCTCCTGTGTACTCCCGGGTGGCTGTTGGGGTGTGAATTTACAGAGATCTGCACGTCCAGGTGCCAGTAGTGTTCAGGAGACTTTAAGTCCAGTGTCGTGGAGCTCATGGAAATTCCCACCTCCACCTCCCTGGAGTTCAGGAAGAGAAGGGCCTGTGTTTCCAAGGCTCCTGGTTGGAAGGGGCTGCCTTTGGAAGGGGCTGGGTCTCCTCACGGGTGACAATGAATCCACAAGCCCCAGCAGGATTTGCTACCCAGCCTCTCTGTGGCCAGGCATCAGGGACTTAAGCAGGCTTTAGGGAAAGGAAGTTTTTTTTTTTGTTTTTTTTTGCCGGTTGTGGGGCCTGAACTCTGGGCCTTGGCACTGTCCCTCAGGAACTGTAGCGCCACTTCTGGCTTTTTTTTTCTTTCTGCTTATGTGGTGCTGAGGAATCGAACCCAGGGCCTCATGCATGCAAGGCAAGCGCTTTACCACTGAGCCACCTTCCCAGCTCAGGATCTCATTCTTGTTTTAGGAAAGTGCTCTACGCTTTGAGCTGTATCTCCTGTTCTTTTTGCTTCCGTTGTTCAGATAAGGTCTGTACTTTTGCTCTGGTGGCCTGAGGCTGTGATCTTCCTAACTCCACCTCCTGAGAAACTAGTATGATAGGTCTGCACCTCTATCCCAGCTAGTTTTTTTTTTATCAGTCTTATGCCTTTGTGTCTCTGTGTTTAGCTTATTTATTTATTTATTTATTTTTGGGTCGGTCGTGGGGCTTGAACTCTGGGCTTGGGTGCTGTCCCTGTGCTCTTCATCTCAAGGTAAGCACTCTACCACTTGAACCACAGCACCACTTCCGGTTTTCTAGTGGTTTATTGGAGATAAGAGTCTCATGGGCTTTCCTGCCCAGGCTGGCTTTGAACTGAAATCCTCTGATCTCAGCCTCCTCAGTAGCTAGGATGATAGGCATGAGCCACTGGCGCCCGGCTTGTGTTTAGCTTTTATCCAGGAATTGGCACAAGTCAATTTCTCTAGCTTCATTACCATTTTTGTTTGTTTTTGTTGGTCGTGGGACTTGAACTGTGGGCCTTGGTGCTGTCCCTGAGCTCCTCAGCTCAAGGTGAGCACTCTACCACCTGCGCCACAGTGCCACTTCCAGTTTTCTGGTGGTTAATTGGAGATAAGAGTCTCACAGACTTTCCTGCTGGCTTTGAACTGTGAGCCTCAGATCGCAGGATTACAGGCAGGAGCCACTGGTGCCTGGTTCCATTACCCTTTCTAAATGATGGATCCCGGGGTCTGCTCTGGATGTCGGGGTCTGCTCTGGATGTCATACTTGAGGTACATGTGGGGTCATTCTTATCTGTCCTTGGCACTTAACTCCTCTTCTGGGGGTAATGTAGTAACTTGCTTCCCTCCCTCCTCCTCCCTCTCCCCCCCCCTCTGGTCCTGGGACTTGAACTCAGGGCCTGGGCACTTTCTCTGAGCTCAAGGCTAGCGTTCTGCCACTAGAGCCACAGCTTCACTTCTGGCTTTTTGGGGGTTAATGGGAAATAAGAATCCTAAGGGGCTGGGAAGGTGGCTCGGTGGTAGAGTGCTTGCCTTGAGTGCATGAGGCCCTGGCTTCAATTTCTCAGCACCACATAAACAGAAAAAGCCAGAAGTGGCGCTGTAGCTCAAGTGGTAGAGCGCTAGCCTTGAGCTGAAGAGCTGAGAGACAGCGCCCAGAGTTCAAGCCCCACGACTAACAACAACAAAATAAAAAGAGTCTAAAGGATTTTGCTGCTGCCAGGGCTGGCTTTGAGCTGTGATGCTCAGATCTTGGCCTCTGGAGTAGCTAGGATTACAGGCAAGTGACTGACTTCCCATTCTTGAAAGAATGTGTATCATTATACTCTTCCTTCTCATATAGCAGCAAGGCCTTTACATTTACCGAAATTCTTTTTTCTCTTAAGATTCTTCTACCTTTCTTTATAGGCCTGGTGCATGCTAAATTTTCTATTTTGCCATATGCTTGGGGTTTCTTTGGTATTCAGAAAAACTATCAATATAGGGCTCAATTATGTCCAACTCGTGGTTTATGGTTCCAGTTTTTCCAGTTGATTCTCTTCAAGTTTCCTGGGTAGATGATCGTCTTAAAAATAAGGACAATTTAATCTCTTCCTAATGGCTCCATCCACTCTTTCATTTCCGCTTGGGTTTTTAGTGCACTGATGGGACTGCCCAGAGGTGAATTAAATATGATGATGTAGTGATAGTTTTGCTTTGCTGGAGTGCTATAAATGGGTTCCTGGGGTGTGCCTGCCTGAGAGCACCCCTCAACCCATCCAGATGTGTTCCTGCTGTCTGCCTCTCTACAGCTGAACCCTAGGCCTCTTGCTTCTAGCGGACTATGAATGACTCCTAAGAACCAGGGCCCCCTGGGTTGGGGATCCTGCCATTTCATCCACACCTGAAGGCAGCCATGATGCACCTCCCCCCTTCCTCCCCTCCCCCTCCCCCTTTCTCCCTCTTTTCTCCCCCCCGTTCCCCCCACCCCCATGAATTTAGGATTGCCAGAGACAGTGGCCAGGCTTTGGGACAGCTCTCCTTCCAGCCCTAGAGAAACAAGGAAAGCCCTTGTCTCATTTCTCAGACATTTCGTTTCAACTCCACTAAGTCCCTCCCACAGGCCCAGCATCCTGCTGCCCAGCCTGTGGTCCTTGGGGAGAGGCAGAGTGCAAGAAGGTCAGGCCAGCTGCCAGGACTGGCCTGGCCTGGCCTGTGTCCCCATTACGGGCTTGACTTTGGAAATGAGCTGTCCCTGTTCAAGGAGAGCTCTGGGCGTGCCAGTCTCCTTCTTAGGGTCCAGCCACAAAAAGCTGCTGCCTTGACTCCTAAGCGTTCTTGTTGTGTGGACAAGGGCATTCCTGAATGGAGAGCTGAGTGGGATCCCCTGATTCCTGTCCTCTAGACCCTGCAGCTGATCTTTTGTTAGGAGCCCTGGGCATGCGCAGTGCCACTTGATCTTTATTTAGCGCATGAGGCAGGAGCAGTTATTAGCCCTTGGATAGCTAGAAAGACTGAGCCTGAGGCAGGAAATGACTTGCCCAAAGTTAGAGCCAGAAAACAACAGCGCCCACATCCGAACTGGGACTGTCTCGCTCCAAGCTACCTCACCGGCACTTGGAACTTGGTTGGGTGACTCCGGTTGTGTCATCAATGAAGAAGCCAGGGGCTCACTCTTCCAACTCAATACATCCCACAACACTTCTTCTCATCCCTTTCCTGAGAGCCCATGCTTGTCTTTTCTGGTTTTTGGGTCCCACTGTATGCTGGGCACAGCGCCCTTGCACCTGTCCCATCAAAGATCCTTGAAGTAGACACAGGTGTGCAGTGGTTTGTCACTTCATGTGTGCACATAGGTGAAATGACTAACACTGTCACCTTAGGATGCTGGCGCTGTGTGTGTGTGTGTGTGTGTGTGTGTGTGTGTGTGTGTGTATCAGGGCTTGAAGTGAAAACCAGTGACTTAGGGGCTGGGAAGGTGGCTTAGTGGTAGAGCGCATGCCTTGCATGCCAGAGATCCTGGGTTCGATTCCTCAGCACCACATAAGAAAAAAGCCGGAAGTGGCGCTGTGGCTCTGAGAGTGGTAGAGCACTCGCCTTGAGCTGAAGAGCTGAGGGACAGCGCCCAGGCCCAGAGTTCAGGCCCCATGACCGGACCCCAAAAAAAAACAACAAAAAAACAAACAAAAAAAGAAAACCAGTGACTTATAGTCATGTGCTGGTGACTCACGCCTGTAATCCTAGCTACTCAGTAGGCTGAGATCTGAGGATCTCAGTTGGAAGTCAGCCTGGGCAGGAAAGTCCATGAGACTCTTATCTCCTATTAACCATCAGAAAACCGGAAGTAGCACTATGGCTTAAGTGGTAGAGTGCTTGCCTTGAGCAGAAGAACTCAGGGACAGCACCCAGACCCAGAATTTAAGCCCCATGACCGACAGAAAAAAAAATGCCAGATGCGCTAGGAGAAGCCAGGTTGGGTCGAAGCCCAGGCTCCCTTCACAGCCCCCTGGCATTGCAGGAGAGAAGATCAGGTGCCTCTTAGCCAGCTTAGCCAGCTGTATTACTGGGGAACCTGGCCTTGGAATTTCAGGGTGTCAGATGACCAGCTATGTGGTGGCTCTAAGCCTGTCTGTGCATGGCCTCTTCTGTTCTGCTCATGCCTCTCTGGGGAGGACTGATTAGTGCTTAGAAAGTTCCAGAAGACTCCAGGGAGCAGATACTCCTCATCTAAGGACTCTTTGTAATCCCCAGGCCCTCACCTGTGTTCTCCCAGCGGCTGTGGCCCTCCCCAGAGCACCTGAAAGGGACCTAGAGCTTTTCTCCTGCTTGTCCCACAGGGCTAGAGTCAGGCCCAGGGGTCCTCTACAAATATCCAGGCCTGTGTGAAGATTTAAATGCCAGGCAGGCTCACAGGGCTGGAAGTGTGGCTTGGTGGTAGAGCATTTACCTAGGTCATGTCAGGCCCTGGGTTGCAGCCCTTGAAATAACAAGACACCAGCACACAAATGAAAATAGCCAAGCCATCTCCCGTCTCGTGGCCTTGGGCACTGATTGAACCCTAAGCCTGAACTTCAACAGTACTTAACCCACAGACCCTGAGAGGATTCCGGCTGCTTGATGCTGGCACACACAGGCAGGGCTTTAGGATCTTGGCCACTCATGTCTCTGGCAGGCCTGGGTGCTGGCTGACGGGAGTGACAGCGGCTGATCTGAATTGGGTGAAGGGCCTGGGTGGGAGGCAGCTACTTACCATCTCTTCTCTCTCCTCAGTATGGCAAGAAGAAGCTGAAATACCTGCCTTACAATCACCAGCACGAGTACTTCTTCCTGAGTAAGTACTAAGCATCCAATACCACCCCCTGACCCTGCTCTCCCCACAGAGTGCCTCTCTCCCTCTACCACCCGCCTTCCCCACCCTTTCCACACCCTGAGAGTGACATCAGACCTGTCCCAGAAGGAGAGGCCACAGCAGACAGCCCACATAGACCTCTCTTGGTCCACGAGCTGACCTGGCATTCCGTTGTCTGGCTGGGCCCGGCTGGGTCGCTCATTCAACCCCTCTGTTCTCCCCCACAGTTGGGCCTCCACTGCTCATCCCCATGTACTTCCAGTACCAGATCATCATGACCATGATCATCCGCAGGGACTGGGTGGTGAGTCGGGAGGGGTGCTGGCTGGAGTGTGGGAGGGTGATGGGGGGGAGGGGCGTGGGCAGCAGAGGGCCTGAGGGGTCTCAGTCACCTCTCCTGGGGGGGGTATCTGCCTTATTGTTCTCTCTCTTTTTTTTTTTTGTTGTTGGTTGTGGAGCTCGAACTCAGAGCCTGGGCACTGTCCCCTCAGTCTTCAGCTGAAGGCAAGCGCTCTACCACTTGAGCCACAGCATCACTTCCAATTTTCTGGTGGTTAATTGGAGATAGGAATCTCATGGACTTTCCTGCCCGGGCTGGCTTTGAACCACAATCCCCAGATCTCAGCCATTTAAGTAGTTAGGATTGCAGCTGTGAGAGACCAGCACCTGGCTTAACTGTTATTATAAAGGTGATGTATAGAGGGGTTATAATTAGGTAAATCGGATAAGGAGTATATTTCTTTTATTGTTGTTGTTGTTGGTCATGGGGCTTGAACTCTGGGCCTGGGCACTTGTCCCTCAGCTCTTCAGCTCAAGGCAAGCACTTTACCACTTGAGCCACAGCACCACTTCCCAGTTTATTGGAGATTAGAGTCTCACAGATTTCCTTGCCTGGGCTGGCTTTGAACCATGATCCTCAGATCTCAGCCTCCTGAGTAGCTAGGATTACAGGCGTGAGCCACCAGCTCCCGGCAGGAGTGTATTTCTTTTTGGACAATGTCACCCCTTCCCTTGCTCTCTCCTAATTACCCCCCCATTCCCACCCATAAATTGTATAGTTTGTTGTCAACATAGTGTCCAGGGACTGCTGTTGTTGGATTGGTTCACCCCTTTATTGCTATTAAGAAGGTTTTCCCTCAGGGGTCCCCACAGCTAAGAAAGCTACAGTAAAATAATCCTATAGATCCCCCCATATATATATATATATATATACACATGGGGAGCCCACAAGGGCAGCTGCTACCTTTGCATTTGGACACTGACGGTCCAGGTTCCTTCGTTAAGGCTGCATCACAGAGTACTCCAAATTGGGTGTCTTAAGCTAGAGGCCCGAAGTCTGGAACCAGCCCTTGGGAGGTCTCTCAGAGGAACCTGTTCCAGGCCCCTCCCCTCTCTCCCACCTAGGAAGTGGGGCTCCTTCCTGCCCTTCTTGTCTCTTCTTCTCTCCCCCCCCATCTTTGTTTAAATATCTCCCTTCTTAAAGGGACACCAGTCCTATTGGGTTCATGGCTCAGCCTAAAGACCTCCTATTAGCTCGTCACCCCCTTGAAGGAGCCGAAGGTCACTTTCTGAAGTTAGTGGTAATTAGAATTTCAGGGTAATGAAATTGGATGATGCAGTTTCACCTCAGACAACAGACTTAGAGGAGTCTGCTGATTTTGCTTCCGACAAAGAAAGGGAAGCCAGGTGCTAGTGACTCACCTGTAATCCTAGCTACTCAGGAAGGTGAGATCTCAGTTCAAAGTGAGCCTGGGAAACAAGTCAGAGAAGCTCTTACCACCAAGGAACCAGGAAAAAGCTAGGAGTCGTGGCTCAACTAGCAGAGCACTAGCCTTGAGTGAAAAGCTGAGGGACAGCACCTGGGCCCTGAGTTCAAGTTCCAGTCCAGAAGAAAAGGAGGAGGAAAGAAGAGGAGAAAGAGGAGGAGGAGAAGAAAAAGAGGAAGAGGAGGAAGGAAAGAAGAGAAAGAGAGAGAAAGAAAGAAAGAAAAAGAAAGAAAGGAAGGAAAGAAAAAAGGAAGAGGAAGGATCTCTAGAGAAGACTTCAGAGTGGTGCTCAAGGGGACCTTGTTTGTTTTTTTTTGTTGTTGTTGTTGTTTTGCTGGTCCTGGAGCTTGAACTCAGGGCCTGGCCAGTCTCTCTGTGCTCAAGGCTAGCGCTCTACTACTTGAGCCACAGCGCCACTTCCGGCTTTTTCTGTGTATGTGGTGCTGAGGAATTGAACCCAGGGTTTCATGCATACTAGGCAAGCGCTCTACCACTGAGCCACATTCCCAGCCCAACCTTGGGTTTTGTAGATGTAATCATGGTTTTGTGCAAGATGGCAGTGTACTTGTGGTGAGGTAAGCTATATGAAGTGGTCACCACAAGCAGAAAGGGTTCTCTGGGACGGAAGCCTAGCAATTAGTCTCAGAAAGAACAGACATGTTCAGTCACCTGTTAGTTACGATTGGCCTTTCTAAACAACAATCCCCCTCCCTCCCCAGACTGTCTCGATCATGAATATCATGAAGGCTGGTCAGTGTGACAACTAAGGTTGGTGTGGTCTCCTGACACCTACACTCTGTACCCCATTGTCCCCCAAGTCCTAGCCTACCTCCTGTTCACAGAGCACTGAACGGCTCCGGACTGCGGTGGGCTCCGTGCTGTTTGTGGGGGCTGGGCACAGGATTTTGCTTCTAGATAGAACTGGAACTGGTGGGGATGTGAGGGGAGGAGGTGGGACCCTGCCAGCCCTGGAAGGATAGAAGGACAATGTTTCCGAGTCAGTTGAGTAACAGACATGAAACATCGATCTCCTATCCTTCCCTACTAGGACTTCTGCTTCCAGCAGGATTTAGCTAGGCTTTGGCAAGGTGTAGCTGAAAAGGAGCTGGGTGCTGATGTGCTGATTAGGGGGCCAGTGTTACAGCAAGGGGGGGGTGTCAGGGGACCGGGTGAGGTGTGTTAACCATTTTATAGAAAGTAGGGCATGTGTATGTGTGTGTGCGCATGTGTGTGTGCTTGTGTTTTCTTTGTTTACAGTGCTTGCTCCATAAGGAGCAAAGCATTGGCTGGGGAAAAGCAGGCAAGGAGATTAGACTCTGTTCACATCCTCAGATGGCAGAGCCAGAGGCATTTGACTGGGCCAGCAGCTCCCAACAGCTCCGATTCTGTTGGGCCACTTGGCAACATGAAGACATGGATCGTCCCCAGGTGGGGCTGGCGTCTAGCCAGAGGCAGTTGTGTTAAAACATTCTGCTAGCCTGGCACCAGTGGGTCATGCCTGTAATTCTAGCTGCTTAGGAGGCTGAGATCTGAGGATCATGGTTCAAAGCCAGCTGGGGCAGGAACATCTGTGAGACTCTTATCTCCAATGAACCACCAGAAAACAGGAAGTGGTATTGTGATTCAAGTGGTAGAGCTTGTGCCTTGAGCAGAAGAGCTCAGGGACAGCGCTCAGGCCCAGAGTTCAAACCCCATGACAGACAAAAAAAAACACACACACACACACATCACCATCCACTAACAGAAAGTGGCACTTTGGCTCCAAGTGGTAGAGTGCTAGCCTTGAGCAAAAAAGCTAGGCCCTGAGTTCAAGCCCCACAACTGACAAAAAGAAAAGACACTCTGCCCTCTTGAGAATGCGCAAAGCCCCAGCCGGTCCAGATGCCCTGAGTGTGGATCCTGAAACACCCCACACATAGATGAAGGTACCGAAGGGAAGTACTCACTGATCCCCACAGGCTCCCACGGCCAGCTGGGCTACTCCCCAGGCCTCACTTGCCCTTGGGTTGGAGCTCATACTGGAACTTTGTCCTCTTGGCCTTCTTCCTGTCACCTTCCCAACCCCCACCTCTCGGGGCTCTCCTCCCTGCTCTCCCTGCCCCGCTCTGTGGTGTTGCTGTGTCTCCTTCACCCCTGCCCCTGGTGTAGTGGGGTCCAAGAAATGTGTAGCTCTATGTTGATAAATACCTTAAGCTGGACACTGGTGACTCACACCTGTAATTCTAGCTACTCAGGAATGCTGAGATCTGATGATTGCGGTTCAAAGCCAGCTGGGGCAGGAACATCTGTGAGACTCTTTATCTCCACTGAACCACCAGAAAACAGGAAGTGGTACTGTGGCTCAAGTGGTAGAGCTTGCGCCTTGGGCAGAAAAGCTCAGGGACAGCACCTAGGCCCAGAGTTCAAGCCCCCTGACAGACAATAAATACATCATCATCCACTCCCAAACATGTGTGTGGTATACCTGTTACTATATATGACATCATGTATGATATTATCATACACTACTACTCTCTATATAGAAGTATACACATGCACACATACACAGACACACACTTCTGCACTACAAATACACAAAACCAATATAATGGCACTGGTGATATAGCTCAGTAGTAATGCACTTACCTAGAGTACATGTGAGTCTAAGTTCTCTCTCTAACCCTGAAAGGAATAATTTTTCTCCATTTCTTTTTCTTTCTTCCTTTTGTTTTTGTGCCAGTCTTGGGGCTTGAACTCAGGGCCTAGGTGCTGTTCCAGAGTTGTTGTTTTTTTGGTCCATTGTAGGGCTTGAACTCTAGGCCTGGGCGCTGTCCCTCAGCTCTCTAGCTCAAGGCTAGTGCTCTACCACTTGAGCCACAGCTTCACTTCCAGATTTTTTGGTAATTAATTGGAGGTAAGAGTCACACAGGCTTTCCCGCCTGGGCTGGTTTTGAATCATGATTCTCAAATTTCAGCCTCTTGAGTAGCTAGGATTATAGACATGAACCACTGGTTCACGTCACAGAATAATAAATGTTCATTGAGTATGAAGAAAATTAGGAGAACTTAGGAAATCAGCCTTCCCTTGTCCCCTTGAAGTTAGATCATCGTTTTGTTGGATCTAGAGGTCCAGCTGGTAGCTCTTCATCTCCCTTCCTCAGCCCTTCCCTCTGTCCTGACCATTAGGCCAAAAGCAGAAGCAAAGCCAGATTCCTCACAACCAAGCAATCACTAAATACACATTTGTCTTCTAAATTGTTCTGCAATTTGTCACTTCTTCATCCATGATAAGAGCCCTTCTTTCATGTTTTACCTGTGACAGGGCAGTCCCCTGTGAAGTGCACTTAGCACTCCTGGCTGAGAATGCTCTGTCCATGCAAAGGCCCTGAGGCAGGAGCAAGCTGGGCCAGGATGCTGAGGCAAAAGAGCTTCCTAATCCTGAGCTCTGTGGCCACAGGAGGATGCTGGGAGCTCAGGGCACTGGCTGCCATGGATACATGAGAACACGCAGGAGACCAATGCACATGCTTGTTGTGGTCCAGACAGGACATACTGGGCTTGGGTGGGAGAAGAAGTGGAGAGCGTTGGTCCACTCTAGAGAGCACCTGGCCTGCCATTGTTACACTGGAGAGCCAAGGTTCTGGCACACAGGGACAGGGCCTCGTGTGTGGTGGGGGGAGACTGGATTTTGTACACTCAGATTCTCCAGTCCCTGCCCATAGCCGCCCCTCAGCTGATAAGACTCTTTCCCCCTCCTCCGTCCATTTCTTTGGAGACCAAGGCAGTTGTACAAACCCATGCAGGCAGGGAGGTATTATCTCTCTGATCCTCAGCTTCCTAGAGTCCTGTGCCCAGCGCTGGAAGGTGTGTGCACACATCTAGTTTCTCAGTGCCAGAGAGGTGGGGCATGGCTGTAATCCTGTCTCTCATCGCAGGACTTGGTCTGGGCCATCAGCTACTACATTCGCTTCTTCTGGACCTACGTCCCTTTCTACGGCATCCTGGGAGCTCTGGTTTTCCTCAACTTCATCAGGTAGCAAGCTTTGCCTCCCTGGGAACATCCGTGGGGCTGTGGCATGAGCGGGAGGAGGGAAGGTCGTCTGGCTCCTGCCCTGAGCCGGGCAGGGGAGCGGGGGATGTGGCTGTGTTGTTCATGGCTGGGGGCTGCAGCTCAGAGCTGTGCTCTCTTCCAGGTTCCTGGAGAGCCACTGGTTTGTGTGGGTTACACAGATGAATCATATTGTCATGGAGATCGACTTGGACCACTACCGAGACTGGTTCAGTAGCCAGGTGAGGGAAGCCAGAGTCCTGAACCAGGATCCTTGTCCCCAGATGCGGCTTGCCAGGGGGACCCAGGAATGTGCTGGGCATCCTTAGAGATGCCTGTGTCCTTCTGCTTGGCAGCCTCAGGGCTGAGCAAGAAAGGGACCAGTGGGGAATCTGGGCGGGTAGGCTGAGGCTGACTGGCAGAACGATGGGACACAGAGCTGGGACTCTGGGTCAAGCCCGCCATTGCGCGGATGAGGCCTGGTCCTTTGACCTTGCTCCCTTGCCTCCCACTCAGCTGGCAGCCACCTGCAATGTGGAGCAGTCCTTCTTCAATGACTGGTTCAGCGGGCATCTCAACTTCCAGATCGAGCACCAGTGAGTGTGACCCGGCCAGGCTTGGGGCAGGGGGAGGAGGGGCGGGAGCAAGAGGCAATGGGGGGAGGAATGGGAGAACAAGGCACCATGGGATATGTGTTCTTGCTCTGCACCTGCCACTGGCAAGGTTACTATCCCATCCTGAAAGCATGGCTCTGCAGCCAGCATGACTGTGCGCAGGAAGGAAGGAGTCCCTTGGGCTGTGAACGCACCCCAAAGCGTGGTGGCAGGCCACACGAGGCCTAGGAACTGGCTGTGGTTAGAGCTTGTACCCGCATCTCGTGATGCCAGGATGCAAGCAAGGCAGGGAAAACCATTCCCACTTGGTTGAATGGTGAACTGAGACCGGCAAAAGAGCTTGCCTGGAGCACCGGTGGACAAGGGACTGTCCTTGCTCTGGTCTCTCGTCCCTGTCCTCTTCCATCTTTTTTCTTTCTCTCATTTTCGTTTTTTTCACTTTTTTTCTTTTTTGTCAGTCGTGGGGCTTCAACTCTGGGCCTGGGCGCTGTCCCTAAGCTCTAAAGCTGTAGGCAAACTCTCTACTACTTGAGCCACAGTGCCACGCCCAGTTTTCTGGGTGGTTTATTGGAGATAAGACTCTCATGGCCTTTGCTGCTTTGAACCTCAGTCCTCAGATCTCAGCCTCCAGAGTAGCTAAGATTATAGGCATGAGCCACTGATGCTCGGGTTTTGTCCTTCCCTTCCCCTCCCTCCTCTCCCCTCTGCTCCTCTCTCCTCTCTCTCCTCCCTTTCTCCTTCCTTCTTTTTTGTGCCAGTACTGGGGCTTAAAGTCAGGGCTTTGGCACTGTTTCTTAGTGTTTTTTGTTTTTTTTTCTCCATGCAAGGTAGTGGTTCTATTGCTTGAGCCATGCCTCCCCTTTCCACTCTTTGCTGGTTAATGGACGGCTGGGAAGGTGGCTCAGTGGTAGAGCGCTTGCCTTGCATGCATGAGGCCCTGGGTTCGATTCCTCAGCACCACATAAGCAGAAAAAGCTGGAAGTGGCGCTGTGGCTCAAGTGGTAGAGCACTAGCCTTGAACTGAAGAGCTCAGGGACAGTACCCAGGCCCAGAGTTCAAGCCCCACAACCGACCAAAAAAAAAAAAAAGAGGCTCTCTGGGACTTTACTGCCTGGGCTGGCTTTGAACCACAGTCCTAGCTCTTGACCTTCTGAGAAGCTAAGATTACAGGCATGAGCTACCAGCACCCAGCTTCCTTTCCTTTCTTGAAAATCATGCTGGCCATCTAGTTCTCTTTCCAATTTCCTACCCTCAGCATGGTGCCAGTTGCTAACCCAGATAACCCCTGTAGCCACACACAGCCTTGTCCTAACTGCAGACAGGGCCTCCTGGTCGGTGGGAGGAAGGGGTGGGGGCGAGTGGCTGAGCCCCCAGCATCCTCACGCTCCCCCTGCCTGTGTCTCTCCCCAGCCTCTTCCCTACCATGCCCCGGCACAACTTGCACAAGATCGCCCCGCTGGTAAAATCTCTGTGTGCCAAGCATGGCATCGAGTACCAGGAGAAGCCGCTGCTGAGGGCCCTACTGGACATCATTAGGTATGGAGTCCTTGAGGCTCTGGGGATACAGGAAGGGGTTGGGGTGGGGGGTGAAGGCCATGGAGAGGCTGGGATCCCTCACCGTGGACAGTACGGAGACCACTGGCTGTCTGCTCTGAGTGGGAAGCACGCCTTCCCCATGTCCTTCCTTGGTGCCTGAACCCTATCTGACCCTCCCTCTCCCCTCCCCCCCCCCACCTTCTCTCTGCAGTTCTCTGAAGAAATCCGGGCAGCTATGGCTGGATGCCTACCTCCACAAATGAAGCGCCGCCCTTGGGGCACCCGGGGGGAGGGCCGAAGGCGTGGGTGCTGCGACAATAGGGAGGGGCGGACTTTCATTCTGAGTGTTCTTGTAAGGCTGGGGTACGCAGCAGTTCATGGATCCCCCCCCCACACACACAAACACACTTTTCTGTCTCCCTTTCTCCCCCTTTCCTTTTGTTCCTCCGCCTCCCAATCACCCAGTCTTCTCCGTTCTGCCTCGGCCCCCTTCTGCGCAGGCCCAGGAAAAGCCTGGGCTGCAGGTGGTGGCTCCATCCCTCCAGCTTCTACCCTTCAAGATCTGAGATCAGAGGTCCCAGAGTCTGGCCTGGCACTCCCCTTCGTTCACCCCCAAACTCCCTCCTTTCATCCCTCATAAACTTCAGTGGCCTGCAGGGAGGGTCCAACCCTGCAGCCCACCCCAACAGCTGAAGGGGTCCGCCTGTTTGGAGGGAGGCATGCTTTGTGCTCTGCTCTCTTTCCTGTGGCTGGGATGGATGCACAGTCTCCCTCCCGCTCTGGAGGGCTTCGGCCTGCAGCAAAGCCCTGAACTTGACCTTGAGGCCCAGAGAAATCTCTTTCCCTCTCCCACTGCTGGAGCAAAGCCCTATGCCATCATCTTCCTAACTCCAGAGGCTGCAGCCTTGGGTCCAAAGGGAGAGCGCCTTGGTGAGCTGGCCATGGCAGGTTAGGGGAGGACCCCTCCCCCACTCCCCCAGCCAGTCTCTAGCCACTTGGGCCCCTGAGTGGGGCTGGCCAGCTCCTCAGCCTCTCTCCTGATCTCTCCTTTTTCACTGTGTTTTTTTTTTTTTAAATCTTTCTTTTTTTCTAACCAGAATGTATTCTTACAGGGAGGTAGCAGGAAGACTGGGTCTCAGGACAATCTGCCTTTTCTAGATGTTTCTGGTCAGGCTTCCCTGAGCTCCATTGGGCTCACCTGCTGAGACCATCCGTCGTTAGACACTGGCTTGGAACTGTCGGAAGGGAGGGTAGGGGAGACGAGGGGAAGGAAGCCACCATGGGGTACCCGCGTGTGGGTGGGGACCCAGTGAGGACCAAACAGGATCTGAGAAATGTGGGGGTGGGAGGTTGCTGGGTAGTAATGGAACAGTAGGAGGGGAAGAGGGGACAGCTGTCCCATTGGAAGGGACGGGACCCAAGCTGGGTCTTCAGATGTAACCCACTAACCAATATTTAGATTCAGATGTGAATGACTCTGGGGACCTTTGAGGGAGCCTTCTAGTCCCTCCCAGCTCTGGCTGGCCAGCCAGGAGAGACCAGCTGGCTTCCAGAGACCTCCAGGTTACCATGGAAACACTCTCCCAAAATAAATAAAAACCAACTAGCTGCTGTATGTCCTCCCCCTAGAGGCCGAGTGAGTCCACAGGGGACCAATCGTAACTGTTAACGTGTTGTTTCCTCGCCCCTGAAGTTTTGGGGAAATAAAAGAAGTAATTTTATTCTCACTTCTTGTGGTTCAGTCCAATGGCTGGCTGGTTAGTGTGCTTCTTGGATGCTAATGTGTGTGGGGGGGGATGGGGAGGGTTGGCACTGGGGGGGCGGGAACTGGAAGGGAAGGGCAAGCCCTCCCCGGAGGGATGAGGACCTCATTTATAAGGTACTGGGGGGTGAATGGAACTGTTGTCCTCCCTCAAAGACGCTGCCAAGGAAAACAACTGATTCCATCTTGTTCTGTGCAGTGGCTCATCCAGTCCTCATGGCCTGAAGGGGGCCGATACCATCTCAGCCTCAGTCACCTGCTTCTATACCAAGGGACTGGGTCTGGGTCCTAGGTTGGTTTCAGCCCCAGATCTTGGAACAAGTGAATGGATGAACCACGGGCACCTGAACAGCTTGCCTTCCAGAGGCCAAGGCTCTTCTCTGCTCAGCTGGCTCTGGACGGACTGGCCTGGACAGGTCACTCCAATGTACAAGAACAGCCAAGAGGCACAGGGAAGCCAGCACCCCAGCGGCTGTCCATTGGTGGCTCCTTCCAGCAGGACTAGGGAGGGCGCCCCTGGAGGGGGGAAGCCCCTCATCCCTTTGAGTGGTCTTAGAGGACAAGCTGGTGGCCCAGGGAGGGGCATGGTGGACAATTCCCTGAGCTTGGAAGAAGAGATTACTCCTACCTCACTGAGGCCCTGGGGCCTCCAACCCACTGGACCACCATTCTGTATTTCAGTACTGAAAACCTCCAGCTGTGCCCCATTAGAGGTCTATCCTTAATCAACCACTATTCTGCCTGCCCCGTGGGCTGGGCCTGCCACCCCAGGATGCTTTGGGATACAGATGGTGGGAAGCAGCCCATGCCCTGGGAATCCAGGGCCCATCTGCTGTGATAGCCAGGGACTAAGGGAGAGAGTGCTAGGGTGGAGAGGAAGGTGTAGACTCATGCCTAGCTTTGGGGGTATCAGGCAAATCTAGATCTTTGGACACCTGTTCCCCCCGCCCCCAACACACACACAAGTCCTTGACTTGCCCTTGAATAGTGCTCAGGTCAAGGAGCTGGGAACTGCTGTTGGCATGAGCTCCCTCCTGCACCTCCCTCCTCCCAGCACCTTTAGAATTGAGTTGTTACACTCTGCCCAAACGGTGTCGCTCTAATATTCAAGGTCATTCGTGAGCAACCATTGATACCTCCATTCCTAGGCCCGGAGAGGGGCCTAGGCCTAGCTGGAGGCTGATACCAATTGAATCAGGACAAGCACAGGGGATTCAGCTCCTGACCCGTCTGCCTGGCCCTCTTGTCAATATCAGGCTACTTGCTGGAGGCCCTGAAGCTGGCCTGAGAGAGGGTATAGGCAGTGTGGGAGAGTCAGGGAGGTAAGTGACTAGTCCAGGTGGAGGAGATACGCTCACACCCATAGTGGGGTTCCCACTGAGATAGTCCAGTCAGCCTTGTGGTGGTGTGGGCACCTACAGAACACTAGGCTGAGAGGCAGGGCTGGGTGGAGCGGCTGGGCTGCGTGCGGAGCTGGAGGCCCAGAAGCAGCCTGACAACTTCCTCAGCTGCCCAACCAGGCTCTCTGGAGGGCAAGAGGAGGCCTTTTACAAGGAGGGGTGAGGTAGGAGCAGCCATGTGGCCTGTGCTTGATCATGCATGTGCCTATCAAGGTCCCTCAGCTGGCTTCACTGTGCTGTCCCCTAGAAAGGAGTCCCTAGGAATTGCCATGCAAATGTCAAATGGGTCAGCTGTGGCTCTCAACAGGGTTTCTGGTGGCTTCTCTAAACAGGCAGATGGGGAGAGCTAGTCCAGATCCTGGCCATCAAGTGTGTGTGTGTGTGTGTGTGTGTGTGTGTTTCCTTGTGTTAGTACTGGGGCTTGAACTCAGGACCTAGGTGTGTGTGTGTGTGTGTGTTTCCTTGTGTTAGTACTGGGGCTTGAACTCAGGACCTAGGTGTGTGTGTGTGTGTGTGTGTGTGTGTGTGTGTTTCCTTGTGTTAGTACTGAGGCTTGAACTCAGGACCTAGGTGTGTGGTGTGTGTGTGTGTGTGTGTTTCCTTGTGTTAGTACTGGGGCTTGAACTCAGGACCTAGGTGTGTGTGTGTGTGTGTGTGTGTGTGTGTGTGTTTCCTTGTGTTAGTACTGAGGCTTGAACTCAGGACCTAGGTGTGTGTGTGTGTGTGTGTGTGTGTTTCCTTGTGTTAGTACTGGGGCTTGAACTCAGGACCTAGGTGTGTGTGTGTGTGTGTTTCCTTGTGTTAGTACTGGGGCTTGAACTCAGGACCTAGGCACTGTCCCTGAGCTTTTTTGCTTAAGGCTAGCACTCTTACCACTTGAGCCACAGCTCCACTTCCAGCCTTTTTGGTGGTTCATTAGAGGGAAGAGTCTCACGAACTTTCCTGGCCCTGCTGGCTTCAAATCCTCAGATACCAGCCTCCTGAGTAGCTAGGATGACAGGTGAGAGCTACAAGTGCCCCGCATTTGAGTGTTATTTTGATAGTATTTTACATTTGCTAACCAAACTGGTTCAACACATAAATGAGTTCACCATCATGGTCCTCCTGCCCTCTGTTCCCCACTTTTCTTGGGACTCTGAAGGAAGTTTCGTCATCTGGCTCAAGAATGAATGGTAGAGCTAGTGACATAGGCTTAGAAAGGGTCAATAATGGCCAACCACTGGTGGTTCACACCTGTCATTCTAACTACCCAGGAGGCTGAGATCTGAGGATCATGGTTCAAAGCCAGCCCAGTCAGGAAAAGTCTATAGACTTATCTTCAATTAGCCCCCTGAAAACCAGAACTGGCACTGTGAGCACTAGCCTTGAGCAAAAGAGCTCAGGGACAGAGCCCAGGCCCTAAGTTCAAGCCCCACAACTGACCTCCCCTCTTCCCTGCCCTCCCCCCCCCAAAAAAAAAAAGAACAAGAGCTGATACTGTTAGTGTCCAGTTCCAGGACTCACAGTCTATCCTGTCATGAACATGTTGTTTGTTTGTCCACCAGCCACTCCCATATGCTAGGAAGAGCTGGCTCTCATGTCCTGGCCACAGGAGATTCAGGTTGGTTGATTGAAAAAACAAATCAACACACAGTCATGTTTCTTTCCCCCCCCCCTTCAGTAGTTTTTATTGCTGCTGCTGTTTTCTGTGCAGGGATTTTAAAAAAAGAATAAAAAAGGACGCCATGTTTCTCAGAGGCCTTTCTCTATTCCTTTTAGAAACATGGCCTGTCTTTACTCTGCAAAGGAAGAAAACCTCCGGGAAGTCAAACAAGTTACTGAGAAATTCTTGATTTGCCTAGGGGAGAGTGCACTTCCCTGGGCCACCAGCAGGGACAGCATAGAGCACAGCCTGCTGCACAGAGGTGCAGGCATTCTGGGAGCTCCTAGGGGGCGCTGCAGGTCCAGTGGCTCCTCTGGGCAGGAGGGGGGTGGCGGGGACATACCTCCCCAACACATGAGAGCCACCGTTGGAATTCTGGTGACTGCCTGCCAGAGCATGGGTAAATCCCATCTGAGCCCTCTAGCACTGTGTGCCACCAGGGGTCAGGCCTTGGCAAGTGGGAACAGTCTATGCAGAGACCCAGTACCCAGGGTTTCTTTTCTTCTCCCTTCCCTCCTTCTCTTTTTTCTTCCTTTTCCCCCTTTCTTTGTTCCTTCCCTCTCATCCTTCTTTTCTTCCCTCCCTTTTTTCCTCCCTCCCTCCTTCCCTTCCTTTCCTGTTCAACCCAAGTCCTTGAATATGTTAGCCAAGTGCTCTGCCACTGAGCTATATACATTCATCCCTGTTTAAAAGTAATTTTTTAAAGTTATTTTGGGTGGTTGAGAATGGGGCTTAGTGGTAGAGTGCTTGCAAAGCATGCATGAAGCCCTGGGTTCGATTCCTCAGTACCAAATAAACAGAAAAGGCCAGAACTGGTGCTGTGGCTCAAGTGGTAGAGTGCTAGCCTTGAGTAAAAGAAGCTTGGAGACAATGCCCAGACCCTGAGTTCAAGCCCCAGGACTGGAAACAAAATTTGGAACAGGGTCTTGTTAGATTGTACAGGCTGGCTTTAACTTTGTCTTCTGGACAGTTTTCTGAGTAGCTGGGATTATAGGAGGTGGAGCTGGGGGTGGGGGCCTGTGCTCCCCTGGACCGGGCTCAGGGAAGCAGTGTGCTAAATCCAGGCTGTCATCCTTTGAGAGCAGACTGAGGCCTTCTGCGCTGGGCTCTGGGCAGTCCCCAGCTTCTGGGACTGGGGCTGTGGCACTCACTGGCATCAAGGAGGCACTGAATTCCACCCAGACAAACAAAATGAATTGTGTGACACAGAATTGTCTGATACAGACAAACAAAATGAATTGTTTTCCCAAAATACCCAGGCCTGGCCTAGCTGTACCCATTGTCCAGATGAGGAGGCTGAGCCCCAATGAGTTGGCAGTGCTTGCTCTGAGGATGAGTCCTCTGATACCAGGGGGCAAAGTGGCTGGGCTTATTCAGTGCATTACTGTCCGGCAAGTACCTGGCCCAGGGTGGGGCTGGGGAATAGGCACCACCAGACACAGGAGTCACCGCTACTATCCACGTGCTGCCCCCACCCCCAAGACCTCCTGAGGACCCCATTGCCTGGAGGGCTGTAGGAGGGAGATGGTGCAGGATGGGGTGTGCTGACTTCTCCAGCATTCCATGGGCCCAGAACCCCATGTCCCATGACTCACCCCAGGATCCTGAGGAGTGGATGTGCTGGGGAGGAGGCAGCTCAACCCCTTCCCTCCCCGCCCCTCCCCCCCCATGTACACACAACGCCCCACTAGGGAGACTGCGGCAGACACCAGCTTCCAAACTCACACACATTCGACACCTCTCTATAATATATAGAGTTGATTTTTATATAAAAAATATCAGTTTTCCCCAATCCTTGATCTAGGAAAACATGCTGTACTTCGCAGAAGGGCCTTAAGTACTCTCCCTCCACCCCTGGTCCTGAGGGCGCTGCAAAGCCAAGGCCATTGGGCTGCTGAGGAGGGAAGAGGCAGGACCAGGAGCGAGTGTGGATGGCACTGGAGAGCCTGCCTGGAGTGGCTTGATGGTCCTGGGGCTGGGGCCCTTCCCCCACTTCTCCACCTGGGCGAGTCCTGCCTTCATTGGTGGAGATAGGCATCCAACCAGACATCACCAGACTTCTTCAGGGACCTGGGAGGCAAAGGCAGGGATCAGGACTCTATTGCAAGATACTCACATCCCCACTCCCTCATGGGAGTTCTCGTGTTCTGTTCTCGTGGGGAGGCAGCTGTGGGGCCAGGGAGAGGGGTCAGGAGAGGATGCCAGGCACTCACTGGTGGGAGTATGAGCTAGACTAGCAGTGAGGGCAGCCAGCCAAGACTCAATGAGTCTTGTGAGCCAATGACATACAGGAAGTGCACAGAATCTGCCCACCAGGAGCCTGGAGTCAGTGCGGGGAGGGAGGACCCAAAATTGTACAAGGAAACCCTGTGCCAGGTGCTTGGATGGAGTGAGCCAAGGCTCTACGGCTCAGAGGATCAGGCTGGGAAAGATCACGAAGGAGAAGCCTGAGTCTGAAATAGCAGGATGGATGGAAGAACATCCGAGCAGAGCTCAGCAGAGGGAGATCTATGCAGGGGCAGAGCCTCTGCTCTTCTCTCCATGTAAACCTGGTAGTCTCCCCTTGGCTGAGTGGCTCTCCCACATCCCAGCCCATGCCTACCTTAGGACCTTTGCAACTTCTGTACCCTTTGCCTGGAATGTTCTGCCAGGTGTCCCAATGATCAGCTTCCTGTCCCTGCTTACACCTGTCACCCTGTTAACAACTAAGTCTCTCCCTGGCCTTCTTTCCCCTCACCTGACCTTACCTAGGCTTTTCTTTTCTTTTTTTTTCCAGTCCTGGGGCTTGAACTCGGGGCCTGAAAACCATCTTCGAGCTTCTTTTGCTCAAGGGTAGCACTTTACCACTTGAGCCACAGCACCACTTCCGGCTTTTTCTGTTTATATGGTACTGACGATTTGAACCCAGAGCTTCATGCATGCTAGGCACGCACTCTACCTCTAAGCCACATTCCTAGCCCTACCCTAGGCTTTATTGGGGTGTTTTTGTGTGTATGCTGGTCCTTGGCTTTGAACTCTGGGGCCGGGCACTGTCCTTGAGCTTTTGTGCTCAAGACTAGTGCTCTAGCCGGGCACTGGTGGCTCATGCCTATCATCCTAGCTACTCAGGAGGCTGAGATCTGAGGATCATGGTTCAAAGCCAGCCCGGGCAGGGAAGTCGGTGAGACTCTTTTTTTTTTTTTTTGGGGCTTGAACTCTGGGCCTGGGCACTGTCCCTCAGCTCTTCAGCTCAAGGCGAGCGCTCTACCACTTGAGCTACAGCGCCACTTCCGGTTTTCTGGTGGTTTATTGGAGATAGGAGTCTCATGGTCTCTCCTGCCCGGGCTGGCTTTGAACCGAGATCCTCAGATCTCAGCCTCCTGAGTAGCTAGGATTACAGGCGTGAGCCACCAGCGCCCGGCTCGGTGAGACTCTTATATCCAATAAACCACTAGAAAACTGAAAGTGGTGCTGTGGCTCAAGTGGTAGAGCGCTCGCCTTGAGCTGAAGACCTGAAGGATGGTGCCCAAGCCCAGAGTTCAAGCCCACGAATGACCAAGAAAAATTTTAAAAAGACTAGTGCTCTATCACTTGAGCCACACCACTTTTGGCTTTTTGTAGTTGGTTGGAGATAAGAGTCTCACGGATTTTCCTGTTCAGGCTGGCTTTGAACCATGATCCTCAGATGTCAGCCTCTTGATTGGCTAGGATTACAGGCATGAGTCATGGGTGTTCAGCTTACCCTAGGTTTTTCTTGCTTTGTCAAAGCAATTCCCACATTTTCAGTACTTTTTTTTGAGTACCAATAGTCGTGGGGATTTGGGGTTTTGCTTGAACTCAGGTCCTTGTACTCTCCCTTAGCTTTTTCTGCTAAAGGCTGGCACAGTACCAACTTCAGCTACAGCTCCACCTCTGGCTTTTTGCTGGTTAATTGCAGGTCAGAGTCTCACCAACTTTCCTGTCCAGGGTGACTTCATACCATGATCCTCAGCTCTCAGGCCCCTGAGCAGCTAGGATTACAGACATGAGCCACTAGCACCTGGCTCTTTTCTTTTACTTCCAAAGCTGCTTGCTGTTTTCCCCACCTGGAAAGTCAGCTCCAGGGAGGCAGGACCTTTGGCCTGTATTACACACTGATGCATTTGTAGGTGCTCTGTGAATTCTCTGTGTGGATGAGTCATAGGGGAGGGAAGGAAGGCCTGTGCTGATCTAAAAAGGCCTGGAACACCAGTTCTTTGGAAGGCCCCCACATGGCTCAGAGGCCAGCTGCCTGGGGGGGTGGGGGGTGCTGACTAGGGCAAAGTAGAGCCTGGATGCAGCCTTACCTGATGATGTCCACCAGGGCGGTGAAGAAGGGCTTCACCTCATAATGCAGGCCATGCTTGGCACACAGCGACTTGATCAGCGGGGCCACTTTGTGGTAGTTGTGCCTTGGCATGGTAGGGAAGAGGCTGGGAAGGGGGTGGTGTGTCAGGAATAGCTGACAGCTGCAGTAGAGGGCCGTACCCTCTCTTCACCTCCAGGACCCCCCTTCCTACCTCTCCCAGAGTCCCTGGCCAGTGCAGGACTTTGCCTTGGCTTTCTGGGGAAAACTGGAGAGGGGGATGCTGGGACAGCCCCTACCTATCAGGTCCCCTGGGTCACACTCACTGGTGCTCAATCTGGTAGTTGAGGTGCCCGCTGAACCAGTCGAGAAAGAGCGACGGCTCCACATTGCAGGTGGCTGCCAGCTGCGAGGAGCAAGCAGGGCATCGATGAGGGAGGCCGGCTCTGATCCGGACCCCCAGCCATCCCTCCCACACATGGCAGCCCCGCCAGGGCCCACCCAGCCCTGCCCCGCTAGCTCTGAGCTAGGAGCCCTCCACCCAGCACAGTGCCCACCCAGCCCTTGCTGCTGCCTACCTGAGAGCTGGCCCAGTCCTGGTGCTTCTCATGGCCGATCTCCTTGGGGATGTGGTTCATCTGTGTGATCCACACGAACCAGTGGCTTTCCAGGACCCTAAGGGGGAGGCTCAGGTACTGCCCCACACCCAGCTCACACTGAGCCCCCTGGGTGGACACTCCAGTGTGGCTATCCCAGACCTGAGCCCCAGCACCCTGTCTGTAAACCAGGACTCTGCAAGTCTCCCTGCCTGGTGCTGACAAAAACTGAACAGATTGTCCCCCAGGAGTCTGAAGGCAGAGTAACCCTGCTTCAGAGAGGTCACCTGCCCATCCCCTGGGCCCGATTTCCCCTTAGCCACCCAGAGAAGTGACACTCTGAGAGGGGCAAATAAAGGCTCCTGTGTGACCTACACATTCCCTGCCATTCCACATCTGGCCATACCTGACAGCCACATAGAGAAGCAACGCTCCAGAGACACCGTAGAAAGGGACGTAGGACAAGAAGAAACGAGAGTAGAAGCTGGTGGCCCAGAGCAAGTCCTGCGAGGAGGGTAGAGGAAATGCTGAGTGGCCTCCAGGTGGCTGGAGTGGGGGGGGGGGACTAAGAGGATCTAGGGCCACCCAGTCTTCTGTTTTCATTTGTCTCAGGGCCCTGGCCAGGCCACTGGCTCTCCCTAGGCTTCTGTTTTTTTTTTTTTTTCCGGCTGGATAAATGGACAAGGTCCCAGACACATTAGCTCAGAGCGGACCATGAAGGGTGCATTGGAGTAGTCCCAACCAGGGTCTCAGATACCTGGCACACACAGTCAGTATCTCAATGATTCCTTATGAGTCGCAACCTACCAGAGACCCATGCACCCTTGCACCCACCCATACCCCCATGGCGTACACAGGGGCACCTATTTGCATTCATGGAGGGACAAAGCTGTCCCTGTGGCCCCGCCCACAGCCACATGTCACTCACCGTCCACTGCATGCACACCAGCATATATGCCAGGTTTTCCACTTCAAAGTTCACCAGGGTGAGCAGTGGGGGTCCAACTGCAAGAAGGAGCGAGAGCACAGGAGCGGGGCTGGGGTGCCAAGGCAGGGCGGGCATGGAGCGGGAAGAGGCTTCTGTTCCTCCAGGAGTGCGCATCACTACTGATGCTGGGCCTGGGCCAAGCCCTCATCACCCACAAGGCCGGCTCTTGTCCCACCCTGTCCTGCACTGCCCGCCCTCCCCCCCTCTCCCCTCCCCACTTCCCGCTCCTGGGGGAAACCTCACAGTGCCAGAGGTGGCTGAGGTCCCTCAGGACCATGGGGAGGGCGGTAGAGGCTCAGGTGTGGCCCCTCCAGGCCCCTACCCCAGGAGGACTGGCAGGCACTCACTCAGGAAGAAGTACAGGTGCTGGTGGTTGTAGGGTAGGTATCTGCGTTTCTTCTTGCCGTACTGTGGAGACAGGCGGTGGGCTAGGGGAGAACAGCTCTCCAGGCCAAGTTCAAGGGGCTGATGAGGCCAAGGTCAAAGGCAACTCTAGATTCTAGCAATCAGGCCCTGGCTAAGGAGATGGGGAGAAAGCACACTGGGCCAGGGGTTGGAGCTAGAGCTAGAATGGGAACTAAGCCTGGGGACCAGATGGGCAGGTAGCTCGGCCGCTGCCAGGTCCTCTGAGGTGCTGGCCTGGCCCGGGGGGGGGGGCTGTGCCCTTCCCTACCCACCTCCACTGATGACTCCCCCACAAGGAAGACGGGCGCCAGGGTCACATCTGGGTCTTTGTTCAAGATGTTGGGCTTGGCGTGGTGCTGGAAGTGACGGAAATTCCACCAGTGCGCAGAGAAGCCCTGTGGGGAGATGGAGGCTCAGGCTGTGCACCCACACTGGGTGGCCCCACACTTGGACAGACCCAGCCCAGTGCCCCAGCTAAGCCCCTGGCTGCCCACCCACCCATCCACCTCTGCTCTCACCTTCAGCTGCCCCATCACAAACTGCTGGGCCACCTGGTTCCAGCGGGACTTTCTAAAGATGGAGGCGTGGCCCAAGTCGTGCTGTAGACACCAGCTCTGGGCCTGGGGAGAGGGGTGGGTCAGGAGCTGGTGAAGGGAGCCCAGGCAGGGAGGGCAAAGAGCTCCAGGCTCTCTGCAGATCCTTGGGTCTACCCACTGCTAATGCCGCACTCCAAGTCCCAGCGGACAGTGCTTCGTGTTACAGATCAGGGCAGGTGAGTCAGAGAGGAAGGAAATCTCAAGTGCTGGGACATACATACCCCAAAGCCAAGCACATCTCCAATCTTCCCTAGGCTTCCTAACTCCTGCATCCTTTCCTCCCTCAAGACAATCTCTTCCTCAGGGTGTGTCATGGAAACCACAGCCTCTCTTTCCCAAGACCCAGCCAAAGGCCGAAAAATCTTGACTCTAATTTTCCCATTTGTCTTAGAGCTGGCCATAAATCCTCACGCCTCTCCTACATGATAGCAGATACTAAGACCCTCCCCCACATAGCTGGGAGGAACAAACAGAAGAATCTGGACAGCCCTCACTAGGTTTCCTGTCTAGTCGTTATTTCTGGCCCTTTTCATGTCATCATATTTATATTATGGTGGCTTCATGAACCTAAGTATAAAAATAAATGGGTTGGGCTGGGAATGTGGCTTAGTGTTCAAGCACCAGGAGGGGCAAAAATAAACAAACAAACAAATAAATAAATAAGGACAGGTCAAACCAGGCGCTGGTGGCTCACATCTGTAATCCTTGCTACTCAGGAACTAAGATCTGAGATCGAGGTTCCAAACCAGCCCAGGTAGGAAAGTCTATGAGACCCTTATCTCCAAGAAACTACCCCCCTCCCTGAAAAAAGGTGGAGTGGTGCTGTGGCTCAAATGGTAGAGCACTAGCCTTGAGCAAAAGAGCTCAGAGACAGCACCCAGGCCCTGAGTTCAAGCTCTATAACAAAAAAATAGATAGATGAAGGGCTGGGAATGTGGCTTAGTGGTAGAGTGCTTGCCTAGCATACATGAAGCCCTGGATTTGATTCCTCAGTACTACATAAACAGAAGAAGCTAGACAAGGCACTGTGGCTCAAGTGGTAGAGTGCTAGCCTTGAGCAAAAGAAGCTTGGGGACTGTCCAGGCCCTGTGTTTAAGCCCCCAGGATTTGAAAAAATAGGGGAGGGGGGAGAAGGGGAGAGAGGGAGAGAGAGAGATTGATTACTGGATCTTTGGATCTTCAATCTGCAGGTGCCTGTGTCCTATAAAACCAAGGTAGAATAAACTATGATGCCATGCTTTCCTCTGAGGACCTGTCATCTGTCATTGGGATGGGCTGGGACCTTTCTTCCCTTACACAAGTCTGACATGGAGCTGTGACCTTCTGCTGTGACTTCCCCAACCTGTGCTTGCTCAAAGCTTATTAAATAAGGAAGAAACTTCCATAGCTCCATCAGAATCCACTGTGACCCACAGGGATTCCTTTGGGGCCATCTGGTTGTTCTCTTATTTGTTCATTCATTCATTCATTCAGCAGATATTTTTCCAGTGCCCACATGTGCTGGCCCTGTTGTGTGTTGCTTGGTCCCAGAGTCACCTGGGAGAGAGCCAGGATGAGAGCAGCAAAGGTGCTAGACACCCAGCCAGGGCCCAGGAGGTAGATGAGAAGCCAGGCCAGCACTTCCATGGCCAAGATGTGGCCCAGCAGGAGAGCGAAGAAGACAGGATCGGCCTCAAAGAGTTTCATGTCCTCAGCTGCCTGGCGCAGAGTTCGGAAGTCCTTGATCAGCTGGGTCTATCACAGGAGAGTGGCCAGTCAGCAGAGGAAGCGAGGCCTCTTGCTGTCCCCAGAAGCCTCCCACAGTTCCCCAGAACCCCAGCTACTCCTTCCAGGGTCCAATGTCAGGCCCAAGAATTGTGGACAGGATGTGACAGGTGTAGGAGTGAGAGTCTACAACTAGGGTTGAGCTGGGTGACTAGCTGATGGCCAAATTTCTGATGACTAAAAGGCACAGTGTGATGAACAGAGCCAGAGCCAGCTCACCAAACATCCTCAGGGCAGATAGGGCTCCTGGATTCAGAGGAGGGTAGGGGGCTGCCTAGAGACCCCAAGCTAGATCTGGGGCCCCCCCTCCCACAGGGCATGATGGCTACAGCTGGGGCTGGCAGACCAGTCTGGGCTCTGCTTCCCCTGGTGTGTGTGTGTGGGATTCAGATGGATCTGCTACTGCTAGTGGGCAAGGCCCCCCAGCCCCTCCCGCACCCGCTCACATTCTGAGGTCCATCCTGGCTGGGCTCCTCTGGGGCCAGTTCTCCGATCAGCAGGGGCTTCAGGAACTTGCGCACAAAATGGAGATCTTGATGAAAGGCATGGAAGGCATCCTGAAGGAGAGTGGACAGTCAGGTGGACAGACAGACAGACAGCTGGAGTTGCACTTGCAAGCAACCAGCAGAGACAGGGCAAGAAGGGCCGTTGATGGATGGACCAAGCAGCCAGAAAGATGAACAGGACATCAGCTGTTTGAGCCTGGTGCTGGCGGCTCTGCCTGTAATCCTAAGCTACTGAAGAGGCTGAGATCTGAGAATCACATTTTAAAGGCACCCCCACCCCTACCCCACCAGAAGTGAAGTCTGTGAGACTCTTATCTCCAATCAATCAGCCAACCAAGAAATGGAAGTGGAAGTGTAGCTCAGTTGGTAGAGTGCCAGCCTTGAGTGGAAAAGCTAAACGAGCGTTCAAGTCTCGTGCTGGTGTGCATGCATGTGTGCGTGTGTACATGCATGCGTGTGTGTGTGTGTGTGTGTGTGTGTGTGTGTCATAGGGCTGGAGGGTAGGTGCAAGGCAAGAGAAAGAAGATAAAGGAAAGGGGGTGGGAAGACACAAGAGGTAAGGAGAAAGATCAGGAGCCAGGAAGAGAGCAGCAAGTAGTGAGAGGCCACTTGAACTTCACCTCAGGGCTCAGCCATCCTGATTTCTGCCTGAGGTGGTTTGGGTACTATACTTGGCACCGCTTTATTCTCACATGACAATGAATTGGGCCCATTAATTGTTCCCCATTTTTATTGTTGCCATCAATTTCAGAGGTTCCCCCTTCTGAATAGGTGAACACAGCAGGACTGTAGAAACAGGCTGGGCGGTGACCTCCTGTCCTGTCCCATGGGTCTGGGAAAGGTCACTGAGGGGTTTCTGGCTGCTAGAGGAAATGTCTTTGAAGAAGGCTGGTGAAGGCCAGGAGCCCCTATTGTTCTCTCCTGAGAAGCCTAGCAGCTTGTTTAAAAGTGGCATTGCTCTGGTGACATGGCTCTGGTGGCTCATGCTGTAATCCTAGCTAGTCAGGAGGCTGAGATCTGAGGATTGTGGTTTGAAGCCACAAGTAACTACTCAGAAAAAGCTGGACATGAAGCTGTGGCTCAAATGGTAAGGCATTAGCCTTGAGCAAAAGAAGCTCTCAGGGATCGCACCCAGGCCCTGAGTTCAAGTTCCAGGACCGGCACACACACAAAGTGACATGGCTTATCTAAGGACTATGCTACCGCAGTCAGTTCCCAGACCCCTGCACTAGGCTATCTGCTAGGTCCTAGGACTATGGGTTCTTCTCATCCATTTTTATTTTCTTATTTTCTGCCAGTATTGGAACTTGAACTCAGGGCCTAGGTGCTGTCCCTTAGCTTTTTCACTCAAGGTGAGTACCCTACCACTTAAGCTACAACTACTTCCAGCTTTCTGGTGATGAGTTTCACTGACTTTCCTTCCCCTGGTCTGGCTTTGAATTTTAATCCTCAGATTTTAGCCTCCTGAGTAGCTGAGATTACTGGCATGAGCCACAAACACCCTGCTTTATTGCCTATTAAAGACAGACTAAAATAGGCCGTGACGGCAGTCCTGTGGTCTCTGCGTGGTCCTGGGTGAAGGGAGCACTGGGGCATGGCCCTAGGCCACTATTTAGAAATCATTCCTGCCGGGGGACCCACCTAGAGCTCTCTTTCCCAATACTTCTTTACTTCCTGGCCTAGTGCAGTCCAGGGTCTGGTGGATGGGGCTGGAAGTTGCAGCTTCTAGAATAATCCAGGCCAATGTGGGTCTCAATAGAGGCAAACTTGGAAATGAACATTGAAGGAGAAGAAAAGAAGGGGTGAGGGGAGCCAGGGCCCAAGGAAGCTCCTCAGGAGCTGGGGTTGGTTAGGGAAAGGAGCCACAAGGGAAGACTAGTCTTGGGGACTCTGCTGACCTAATCACCAGCTTCCATTTCCTGGGGAAACCAAGTCAGAGAGTTCAGAGCCCTGCTCGCTCTAGGCTGTTAAGCATTAACTTATTTTTTCTTCTTTTGTACCAGGGCTTGAGCTCAGAGCCTGGATACTGTCTCTCAAGGCTGGTGTTCGACCATTTGAGCTACAACTCCACTTCCAGCTTTTTGATGGTTAACTGGTGATAAGGAGTCTCACAGGCTTCCCTGCCTGGGTTTGGTTTCAAACTTCGATGCTCAGATCTCAGCCTCCTGAGTTAGCTGGGATTACAGGCGGGAACCACTGTTGGGATGATAAACTATATCTCAATGAATAATTTTCTGGTATCCTATTCAGTGGCATTAAATAATTTCTTTTTTTTTTTTTTTTGGGTCCAGTCGTGGGGCCTGAACTCTGGGCCTGGGCGCTGTTCCTCAGCTCTTCAGCTCAAGGCTAGCACTCTACCACTTGAGCCACAGCGCCACTTCCCACTTTTTTCTTATTTGGTGCTGAGGAATCGAACCCAGGGCCTCGAGCATGCAAGGCAAGCGCTCTACCACTGAGCCACCTTCCCAGCCTGGCATTAAATAATTTCATGTGGTTGAGCATTCATCGCCCCTACTGATTTCCAGAAGTTTCTCAGCTGAAACCCTATAGTCCCTGTGCTGTGCCCTCCCCTCCCTCTCAGCCCCTGGCACCGGCCACGCCACTCTCTCCACACTCCGGGAACCGCATTTAAGTGGCTCATACGATGTTTTTGTGACCGGTTCATTTCACTTAGCCTCGTGTCCTGCGGGCCCTTCTGTAGTGTAGCCTGTGCCAGAAGTGCCTTTCTTTTAAGGCTGAGTGCTCGTGAAAGGTGTGCTATACAGAACCCAAGTGCACACAAAGCTCAGGAAGGCAGGCACACACACACACACACACACACACACACGATCTAGACTTAGGACATAATCTTGCGCACACACAGGTACATGATACAGGTCTAACATTTCCTCCCATCCAGCTTTTCCCTCTCTTGTCCCCTGTGTCTGTTTGGGGATCTGAGAAATGGAGGCACCAGGACGGAGGACAGCCCTGCCTCCTCTCCCCAGTGCTGATTCATGCACTAGCCCAGAGGAGGACACAGAGCAAGGCCCACCCAAGCGTCTTTCCAGTTGAGTCTGTCTCTTACAAAGAAAGATGTGAGCCCTCCCTCCCTCCCTCCACCCCCGTCCCCCTGGCCTTGGAAGACTGGCCAGAAATGTTCAGGAATGCGGTCAGGACTCTAGTTAGTGGTAAGGGGCAGGCAGGGGGCAACAGGCTGGGGCTGTCCAACAATCCTGGGGCTGAGGGGGCACTGTGAATGGAGCCGGGGTTCTCATGCTGGCAAGGAGCATTGGTAAAGTAGGTTCCTGGACACTGAGTTCAGACTGCGCGGGATATTCCTGGCTAGGGTCATGTGACCAGTCCTCCCTTGACCTCTGCTTAAGGTGGTGAAGGTCCTTAAGAAGAAAGTGAGAGGAAGTGGCACTGTGGCTCAAAGTGATAGAGTGCTAGCTAGCTAGCCTGGAGCAAAGGAGCTCAGGTACAGCGCCCACACCCTGAGTTCAAGCCCTATGACTGGCAAAAAAAGAAAAGAAGTGGACCAGACTCATCTCTGCAGCCCTATTTGCTAGTGAGAATGGGGGCCTCACCTGTCCAGGTCCCAGAGTTTGTCATGTCAGAACTGGGCTTCACCCGCCATTCAAACTCTGTCAGAAGATAGCTACAGTCTTTGCAGGGATCTCGGTCCCTGCAAACCTCCAAGTGGCTGGGCTGGCCATCACAGCCCCTGCTTCTCACTAAGTAGCGGCTGGCTAGCGCAGAGTGGGAGGGAGACCTGCCGGGGAGGGGGGAGAGAGAGGGGCACACTGGAATCAGCCTGCCTGCCCCAGCTGGAACCTGAGCGGCCACTTAGGAGCCAAGGAGTCCCAGACAATGCCATTCCTGCTCCATCTACTCCGCATTTCCTCATCAGTGAAATGGAGGCCACTAATGGCCATCTTGCAGACTGCTGGGAAGCCTGAGTCACAGAGGTAAAGCGCTTAGAAGGGGCCTTAGTGGCCAGCAAGTGCCCCATAGCCAAGATCTCATCTGAGTCCCACGGCCCGGATGTGACCCTAGAAGTCAGTGGCTGCAGATCTGTCAGTCAAGTCCAGGCTCAGGAGGGACAGGCAGGGGGAGCAGCCGTGGTCTACCCCAAATATGGAGGAGGAGGCGGGGAGGGAGTTCTGGTCACTGGCCAAAGAATGATGAGTGTTCTTGATGAGCCAGGAAGGACCTGGAATGGGCCACAAAGGACCTGCTGAGGCCCAGGTGGTGTGTTCTTTGCTACTTCCCAGCACCTTTGCTAGGGGGAGGTGGGCACTGGGTTTCCAAGGAAACCCTCAGCAAATCCCCTCCTCTCTGCTCTTCCCAGGTTGCAGTATAAAGCAAGGAACCCAGGCCCTGCATGTAAATGTGCCTTGCCATTTCCCTCCCTGCGATCCCTTCCAGCGGGGAGAATAGGGATGTAAAAAGTTGCCCTTTTTACAGAGGGGAGAACCAAGGGGGAAACCAAGGCACACGCTGAACAGGGCCCATCCAATTCCAGCCTTAGTAACAGAGCCCAGCCTACAGGCAGATGCCCCGAAGGAAGCTGCCCTTGGCCCCAGCATCCCCGGGGTCCAAATGAAGGGTGAGCGCGTGCGTTAAATCCTTGGCTTCACCAAAGCAGCCAGGCACGCCGGCATTCTTGTCCTCACTCCACCACTGGAGCCTGGACTGCTTTATCAGAAACTTGTGGCAGCCGGGACACCCTGGGGGAAGAATGGGAACAGCTGTCCCCTACGCTGAGGTCACCAGCATTCCCACCTCTGCAGACTGCATTCCTGCCAGCGCCAGACAAGCCCAACTCCTCCCCTGGAGAAGCCTGCAAGGGGAAAAGAGCCAGGCTAGATGGCAGCATGAGGCGGGTGGGAGGGGAATAAGGTTGCTAAAGGCCCACAGTGGGCCGAAGGCCACCAATGTGACAGGTGGAAACTGGTCACTGGGTCCAGATGTTGGCACCTCTGTGCTCTCACGTGGCCTCAGATCTGCCCTGTCCCTCCTCAGCTTTCATCCAGACACAAATCTCACTTTCCAAGCTCCCCTGATGAAGGTCCCATCCTATCAGGATCCCAAGAAAGGCAGGTCTCATTACATTATTCTTTTTGGCCTCATCTGCAAAATAGGCCAACGATAACGAGCACAGCATCTGAAACCGAAGACTAATCTGACACCATGGCATGGCCTGGGATGGTGGTACCGACTGAACACCTCCATCCTGGGACCGGCAGGAAGCTCCCTGGGTGGGTGGCTCAGGGGTCTGTTGGATCCTGGATCCTCCCACAACTCTTGGTGCCTCAGCCCAAAGGACACCGCAGAGTGCTGGGAAAATCCTCCCCCTCTCTATGGTCTTGGTTGCTCATGACAACCAAGTCATTGAGGATGACAGCACTCTGATCTGTACTGATAGGGAAACTGATAGGGAATGGTTCCCCAACAGTGTCCTTGTGTCCATAGCATCTCTTAATCTTCTTTCTTGGCCATGCTCACACTTTGAGGACCGGAAGAATGGCACCTTATGCATGGCCTCCCCAAAGGGAAAACAGGCTACTTCCATCCCTGCTCTTCTCCTGGGAGGCTCTCTACCTTTGCCCTCTCCATGAGGGCTCTCCTCCTCTGTGTGTGTATGTGTGTCTGGCTTTTTGGACTTTCCTGCGTGGGCTGGCTTTGAACCACGCTCCTCAGTTCTCAGTCTCCTGAGATTACAGGTGTGAGCCACAGATGTCCAGCTACCTTGAGAATTGAAAGATTAGCAATAACAAGTACTGAATTTAGAGTCAAGCACATAGAAGATGCTCAGTGTGTGGCCCCTCTATATATTTAGGCCAGCAGTGGCTAGGCCTGGCTGGCTGGTCCTGTTAGTCTCAGGATCTTACACAAACCTGGCCTAAGGCCCAGAGTGCTCTCCCCAGGGCACTGGGTTTTGTATCCCAGGATGGTCACAGATTGACTTCATGGCACAGGAACCCAGAGCGTTTCCTGGCAGGAAGGCTTCTGTTGCCTGGACATAAGAACAGCTGGTGAGAGGGGGCTGAGCGCCCTCCCCCACACACCTGAATTCCAGGGCCTGGGATGAGGTGCTTGGCATCTGAGCTTGATCATACATACAGAGTGTCTGGCTAGTCTAGTTCCTAGTATGCCTGTGAAGCCATAATGAACGAAGCCAGGGGGGGTTATATATCCAGCCACCTCCCTGTCCCTGTGGCTTGAGCAGACCAGGTATTTCTGGCTACTCCAGCCCAGTGTTTGGAGCCTTGAAGAAGCTAAGCAGTCCTTCTTATTAAACCGGGTTAGGGCCAGACGAGGTGGCCCAGTGCACTGCATAGACGCACTCCTACTGAGAGGCTAGCCACATTTACTACACATCGACAACATGGCCGGCCTAGGGCCACATAATTAGATATGTTCCTGCCAATGAGGCCAGCTTGCCATTTGGCCCCTGCTCTCCCCACGTGACAGATGAGGAAACTCAGGCTTGTCCAAGGAGTGGCATGCCCTGCTTGCGGCCATGTAGAGCCTGCAGTGGGAGAGCTAGGATCCAGCCCCAGAGAACAGATTTTTTTTTAATAATTAATTTATTTTATTGTTATCAGAGCGGTGGTGTACACAGGGATTACAATTACATGAGTCAGGTAATGAGTACATTTCCTTTCATCCAGTATCTTCTGTCCCTCGCTCTTTCCCAGCCTCCCTCCTGTCTCCACCCATAAGAGTTGTGTAGTTCACTTTCATCAATGTCCAGTGAGCCCCACTGCCGCTCTTTGTCACCGGTTTTCCCTCAAGTTCTGTGCCCTCCCCCCATTCTCCTGACATGAATACGTCATACATAAAGAAGGCAAAAAAATCATCAAAAAATAAAATAAGAAACATTTAAAAAGGTCATGTGAGTGTGTGTGCATGTGTGTGTGTGTGTGTGTGTGTGTGTGTGTGTGAATTCCAGGATATGGAAGGAAACAAGAGATCTCTCTCTTGCTTTTCATTTTCTGATGGGGCTCACTGACAGTGGATCAAAGACAATCAAAAGCTAAATATAAAGTTGAGAATGCCACGTGGGAGCCCCCTGCTCCCCAAGCAGGAAAAGTGATGGATAAATACTGTCTGAAGCCCCTCCCCGGCCTGTGCCCCCCTTCTGTCCTATGCCAGGGTGATCTCCCCTAAAACCCTCACAGAGCAGCTAGGGCTCAGGGTGAGGAGATGCCACATTGAATGCCTGCCATACCCCAGGAGAAACACACACACACACACACACACACACACACACTCAAATGCATCTGGACACACACTCCCGATTCCACATGCTGCTGAGTTCAAGAACCTTCTCACCCAGTCCCTCAACAACCTGGGAGGAAGGGAGAAGAGAGGGAGGCTGAAGTCCTAGGGTGGAGCAGAGTCTGCTCACCTGCCAAAGCTCCCCTGAGACTCATTCTCTCGGGTCTCGAAGCCATAGGGTGACTGACCTAGAACTCAGGACCTTGAGCTCTCCTTTTAACTTTTTCCCTGCCTCAAGGCTGGTACTCTACCACTTGAGCCACACTTCTAGCTTTTTCTGCTGGTTAGGTGGAGATACAAGAGTCTCTTGGATTTGTCCGCCCAGGCTGGCTTTGAAACAGGATCCTCAGATCTCAGCCTCCTGTATACTTAAGATTACAGGGAGTGTGTGTGTGTGTGTGTGTGTGTGTGTGTGAGTGTGTAATGGTTTATCAGAATTCTTGCTGGTCAAGGATCGAGCAGGGTAGCCTCAACCCGTTGTCCAGATTGGGGCCTGAGGAAAAGGGAGGCTGCTAAATCTGCTATTGATAGGCCCCCTCCACGGGGAAGGGGAGAGGGGGAGGGGGAGGGGAGGGGAGGGAGAGGGGAGAGGAGGGGGAGGGGAGGGGGCGCTTCAGCCAGCCGGTCCAGCGCTGAGCCTGGCCACACCCCTTCTGGTCTATGACTGGAGCTGGGAATGGGAAGCCAGGTTCCCGGGGGACCGTCCTGCTCCTGGGGTGACTGTCCTTCCTGAGGAGGCCCACCCAGCCTGGCTGGCAAAATCTTCCCACGTGGAGCTGCCAGCCCAGCAGAGGTGAGTCACTGGCGCTGAGAGCAGTTGGGGGGGGCAGATGTGGGGGAGGGACAGAGGTTAAAAGCCACAGACCTCCAGGCCCTGCCAGCTCCCAGCCTCTCCGGATTGGCACAGCCCTTGCCTCGGCTCTGGGGACCCCCATGGCCAGCTCCCAGCACCAGGCGCGACGCCTGCCTTGCTGGGGG